CTGGTTAGGTAGACCTGAAAAATGAGTAACTAAAGTTAGTGGCAGGCGAATTTTGAGACAGGAGCACAGAAATACTATGAGGGAGTAGATCAACTATGATACATATAGGTGGGTACTTCGTACTAAACATTAAAGTTACTTGAAGAAGTATCCCAAACCAACTGTTCGGACTTAGGCTTATGGGGAAGAAGATGAAGGTGCGTACGAAAGTTGTAGAAACCAAACTGAAGCCGGAGATATCACTATGGAAGAAAGGGATCAGAGGATTTTGGACCAGATATTCGCTTATGTGTAGAAAACCTATTCACAAAAGTTTAATCAAGTTTTAGACATTTAAATGAAATTCAGGGTTTTGCTAGGGTGGTAACCTTGCTTTGTATAGTCGTGGGGGAGGGATGATCGTGTTGTTGCCTGTCGAGCGTTACCATACCACGGGCATAGAAACAATATGGTGGTGCAGGGTACTTACAACTAAATACTGATGCTAAAGGGCAAATAATAAAACATGTTACATGCTAAAAAGATCCACCGATAAACAGTTCATTTATCAGTTAGGGATAAAGAGATTATTTAGGGGGAAGAATCTTATGAAGTGGATGTCAAGTAGAGAGATCAGCTAGGTTACCAAAAAATGGAGACTACATCGAGGTAGCCACAGAGTTCACTGTTGTAAATCGTATCACACTCCGCTTCCTGTCCAGTCTGGGTCAGCTTTATCCAAAATAAGATTTTATCTTAACCTGTGCGCTTAGTTTTCGGCATTGTATACTTTTGTCATTGCCGTTAGTCTCCCTTGAGCCTAGCTACCAGCGGTACCACCGTTTATGGTAATACCGTTCGTGATTTGGCCGTCGGCAAATTGATGAGAATCGTCAGATAGGGAGAATTCACTAAGTAGTCGTTGAAACTGGTGGAGAGATCAACATGGGCATACGCTGGCTGGACAGATGAAAAGACCTTACAAGATTTGGATTTCGCCAATGGTTAATGTTTAATATCGCACAAACTCGAAAATCTACGGGCAAAACTAACAAGTTGACAGAAGGGGCAGCTGAAACGGAACTTCGAGTGAATGTAGAGAAGACGGAGGTGATGAAGATACCCAACTAACAACAGCATCAACAGCAAGCATCGATCATCATTAATGGGAGAAACCTGAAGGAAGAAGTCTCTTCCACCTATCTAAGCAGTATCGTTTCAGTTACAGGCTGCACGGGCGATGATGTAAAAACCAGGATCGGAAAAGCGAGGCATGCACCCATGGACCTGCAATCAGTGTGATCTACTGCACCCAGCATAAATCACAAGGCTCGGATGTTCAACACCAACGTCAAGTCGGTGCTGCTATATGGTTCAGAAACTTGGTGCTCCACAAAAAACACTTCCAACAAACTATGGACATTCATCAACAGCTGCCTACGCTGGCTCGGAACTGGAGATCAGATGTCCAGAATGATAAGAATGAGCAACAAGGAACTCACTCTGGTTGGCAACGAATCAACTAAGAAGCTATCTCCCAACAACTATGCAGAAGAAACTGTAGATGGATTGGGCATACGCTGGGAAGGTCGACTAGGGACATCACGTGCCAGGCCAGCCCACTGAGTGGAACCCAAAAGGGAACCGGTGAGTTGAGGGTCACAGCTGAGGGCGACACGCATTAGATCACGTGAGGAGGAAATGAAAGCTTCTGGGCGGGTGTGGAGCCAGGTTGAAAAGACTGTAGAGAACGGAATGAAATGGAGGCGTGCTGCTGAAGCCCTACGTTGCACTAGGAACACAAGGGAAAAATAAGTAATGGTATGTCATCACCGTTAGTGACATCAGAGGCATTCGTCCACTGATAAATGAAACTGAGGCCATCGTTTTCTCTCTGAAGCCAACCACCAAGGATTCGGTTGTTCCTTTCACAGTCCGTGTGGGTTATTTTCGAAGGTGTTGCCGTACCTTGCCTTTCATGTGGGACCAACGATACGCCTGTTTCGTTGGAGTACAAAGTATGTGCGTGTAAACGCCGGCATTTCTCCAGCCCCTGTAAATTTAGTATGCCCATCGCACTAGCAGTTATACTTGTGCTTTGAGTACGGCCATGGATTTATCTAACTTCTCAGTCAAAGCCGTTGCACAATAACCTATTAAAAACCATTGGTAGCCACTGACCATATTTTTGAGGCCGCCGCAAGAAGCAGAACAGGGTGCGTTACATTTAACAAAGCCACACAGCGCCGCATGTGCAATCTCAGGCTTTTCTCTGGAGGTTAGGAAGTGAGTATTTCCATAAACCGCAATGGACCTCACTTTCCTCGCCTGGGCATTCTTTATGGTTTGTGACAACTAGACTAAGTTTATCGCTTCACCTGAAACAACCGCTGCATATACTTAGCGGTTAATTCTGTAGCTAACAAATTATTTCGAAAAATTTCAACCAACCATATCAAAGACACTTAGTTTTGAAACAGCTAGCCTTTCAAAGAAAAATTCCACGCAGCAATATGTAACGTTACCATTCTTGTTCCGGCCGAATGAACCACCACCATCAAACTTGCGTCTACCTTTCTGTTCAACTACTAGATTCAGATCAGACGTTAACTTGACAGCAGCTGGTTGTCTCGTCTCCCTGTAGTACTGACGTGACCAATAATATGTAGATGTAGCAATTATTTTGTTTAGAATATCGTACAAGGCGCAGATTTGTTGAGGTACTGCGCACCTAGAATTTTCTGTTGTATGAACCACGTTTGCTGGAATAAAGCGGTTATCGTTATCTGTTACAGCTCACCTGCCGGACACCTGCCTCCAGCAATACTCACAGACATCCATACTTTGCATGAGCTGTCTATTCAGGGCATGTGGGCCACCGACGAGCTTGTAGCACAACCTTCAGCTAACCTAAGATAAACAAGGACATCAAAGGATGGGTTCGATCATGTTTAGCCCGCGAAATGTGCACAATTATCCAACACAAGAAAAGTCCCAGAAGATCTTTCCAAGCGACTGGTGTTTTTGAAACTGAAACTGGCATCACGCAAGCGTTTATTAAAACCGTGTAGTCTTCAAATAGCATGGGGGACTGTGTTGAGTTTCTGAGGTATTTAGGGGGTTAAACTTGGGGCAAGAATTACGTCCACGAGGTCACACACTACCCTAGAGTTGTTCAAATAAAAGTTTCGAGAAGGTCCCTTAAAGAAAATCCCAGTGTGTCTTCAGGGTTGGGGCTTGGTATGTCTTCATTCCAGTTATAACTCACCTAGCGTGACAGTACTTTAAACGGTGACCCCTACCTAAGCATTTGAATCCTGAAATAAAGAAATCTAGGCCAAGGGTAAGAAAACGACATTTTACTTGATAGAAATACTGGACGTCTGTCTAAAACCACATTCTATTAGGCACCAACACAAATGATGTTCAGCCAGACCACAAACGAATATCACTTATTAGTAAGATATGTGCAGGTGGCGAGTAACGTCAATATGCCAAGAGGATAACCGTTTAGGATTTTCTTATGGCAGCATAATTCTTATAGTCGGGTGTAGCACCCGATGCAAGCAAGTCCTCTTTCAAAGAGATAAACAGTTTTCCTTCTCACTTTCTGCCACGTGCAGAGATGTCATAGCTATGCTATGCCATTGGCAAGATAATCGTAAAACAGGAGCGGGCTTAAAAGCTCCTGCAATGCATGTTGCACACGTTAGAAGCCAAGGGTCCAGATGGGTCACTTATCAATTTCTCAGCACGACTAGTAGCATCATGAACGGCCGCAAGGCCAGCAGGCTCAAGGACAGTTAACGCTTACAGGATTGGAAAGTTTAGGATGGATACCATGTTTGCAAAGTATTCAAGGGTTTTGTCAACATCCCCACAACAAAATTTTCAACAACGGATGGATCACAAACGCTCAAATTTGACGTTGCCACAGCCCAACAAGTAGCACAAAGTAATGCAATCACCAATACAGCCACTGAAAAAAAGCTTAAAATCCCATAAGCGGACGCGAAAAGAACCAAGAAACAAATAGCTATCGAGTCCAGTGGGATCAATGGCAAATAATTGAGAAATAATGGCATGAATGAGCAGTAATATCCACGCGAATTCACTTAACGGAATAGAAACAACGTCCAATGCTTGTCATCTAGCTAAAAATTGAGGTGATCCTGAAATAAAGTTAAGATCTAAAATCCTTTGTGAAGAATACAATGCAGGAAAGATAACTCATCTACCTACTTACCTCGGTGATAAATATGGTCAATACACAGCAGCAAATTTTAAACATGGCGATTATATGCTACTTAGCAAATCATGCAACAGCTTGTAAGACGAAGGCACATTGTGAGTCGTTACAACTGTGATGATCAGCATCACTGACCATTCTTTTTGAACCGTAGGTTACTGCTTTTGGGAAATCATTTGCCGCTTAACTGAGATGACTTTGTTGTAGCATTAGAATTTTCACGTCGTAGCGTAGATGATTGACCCTACAGGAACAGATGAGATACTATGTTCGTATTCCAAGTTCATTGTCAGTGATACGAAGAACTAATAAAGGGTCACTGCCCCTTTCGAGATTAGTCAACAAGATAACACTTAGTTGCAGTAATAAACTGTCCCCAAAGGATATATTAAATAGACCGGTCACCAACTTGGAACACTTTTTGACAGTGCATTGTTGCCTTAAAACAATTAATAAAGCAAAGAAAGAGCTTTTCAGTGAAATGTTTGGGGTGGGATGACACAAACATGAGATGAAATATCCAAAATATGTTTTCATCCAAGTATAGCACCCGTAACCATGGCTTCAGTGTATTGTACAAGCGCCTTAAGGTTATTTGTGACCGTCGCCCTCTAACATAACTATTTTTCAGCTCTTCCATCCAACGAGGTTCGATCTCACTAAAAATGACGGCATATATTCAATCATGAGAAGTTTGTGATGCTCATTTGTTTGAATGCATCGTAATGTTTTAGATTTTCAGTGTGGGGGGTATTCAGTGCTAATCTGGGTGATGTCGATTTGTAGAGGTCCTATAAATGTTCATAAGAAGGGACTAACGTCGGCAGTGTATGACGTCCATGGACGGTATTTAATGTTCTTTTTGTACTCATATCCTAACTTTAGGCGTATCGTGACCGGCGGAGCAGACGGGAAACTAAAGATTTTTGAGTCGCTTGATGATGCTAGCCCTATGGAACATATTGTTGGTGAGAAAATAAATGCTCTTGCCTGTCGTGTAAGTCTTAAGTGTATAGTTAATTGCAGATTAGTATGATAATGTAGTTGTGGCCACTGAAGGGACGTACGTTCACATTCTTCAAATGGAGGATGGACTTCCGGATGGTGTAGCCACGCGGTTCACTGCGGAAGTCAACCATCTAGCCATAAACAAGGACCTGAATAAGATAGTCATGTGTAGTAGGTAGGTTGCTTTTCCCCATAGGCCACATCAATAGTGACTTTTCAATTAAAGTTGTCGACTTCACAGTGCTTGACGGAGACCGCGAAGTGGTTTTCAAAGGGCACCAGGGTGCCGTTTTAAGTGTTGCTTTTGATCCACTTGATATATTCATTGCTTCTGCGTCATGTGATGGTAGTGTGCGTGTATGGAATTTAATGAGTGGCAAGGAAACCAAGTCTATCTCAACGTTGGCAAAATGTAATGACCCTCTTTTGGCTCCAAGTTACTGCAGATTATGCTGGGAGAGTACACTTGGAAAGGTTGGTTCACTTTTAACTTGCACTCATGCCTGTAGTTCCTACTAGTCCCGGTTGACAGAGAAATTCGAATGTTCGAGCGAGAGTGTTGGAGCTTACTTTGCTCGTTGACTTGCCCTTCTGTATCTGAAGCGTTCCTCGTCTGTGCTTCTTCACAAGATGGCGAACTTATTTCAGGTGGAACGTCAGATGGGTGGATTATTGTGTGGAGAGTTGAAGACAGACATGCTATACACCGGTAATATTTTTATACCTGTATTTCACATGTTATATTTTTGACTCAGGTTATTTGTAAAGTTGTGTTTAGCTGGGTTTCAAAGAGGTCAAGCAACTTAGAATCAAACTAAGTGGCCAAGGACAAATGTTTAACGATCATTCTTGGACAGTTGCCAAAAAGTACTTTGCCTTCATTGTTGCCTCTTATTCATAGAGCTTGTAACTAATATACGGCCGGGTTGTAGACTGGAATGTCTTACGGCTAACTTTGTACACTAAACACAACAACAAAACAATAGTTTCTATTCAGTCTCCTGGCTGTTACTCATCCTAGTGATGAAAGTAATGGCAAACTGAAAATACTCAGTTGGTTTATAAATTGTTGGATGGCACTTTTCGACTTACTGTTTAAATCTGTCATCAAGATTTGCCTGATAACTACTTATTGGTTCCATGGAGGGAACTCAGTGTGACCTGTGGAACCGAATCTATAGTACAGTTAACTACAGTCTGGGCAAAAGTCTGATCGTAGAATATTCTTTTCAATAAATTCATCGGTCATTCATTGTCGTCCATTGTTCTTTCATTGCGATTATCCGTGACGACATGGAAAATAGTTTTACCGAACACAACCTTAAGGAGTTCATAGCCAATCTCTCTTCTACCGTCAGTAATTCCAATGCTTTGGTTTCTTCACGCGAGCAAAATTAGAATAACACCTGTTACAAACCCCATATGACCGGAAATTATCCATTTCCAGACTCAGGGTCTTACTTACATCGACACATTATCTTAACCCTCAAACCGAACTTCACTGCCATTTCATTCCTTTTTTCTCCTTATGTGACTTCCTACCAATCCGGCTAATTTCTTCCCTATTTCTCTATCTTTTGTCGTGATGTCTTCTACCTTGGTGTAGTAGTATGAGTTGTGACAACATGGAAGCTTAGGCAATGATGACAAGTCCCGCGTTGTTGCTGACTGATTGGTTTCAATCACCTCGCAATATGGTCTTAGGACAAATCAAAGTAAGTTGCAGCAGTGTGCTTTTATTCAAGGCAGTAGGATATCTTTACAACACTGTAACACTAGTTAGCCTTTTGTCAGCCTCCAGATTTCGTGCGCAACTGTACATTGAGTTGGATAGAAATTCCTAACTAGTTCTGATTAATAGCACTTCGCTACTTATACTTAACACTGGGTATTAGTGCAGATCTGTTCTGCTGGATCTCGGAACATTTACTAGTCGCGAGCAACATGCCAAGGATACGCATATTTGCTCGTGAAATCCAGGATAACCTGGTTGTTGTAATTGTCTTACAGGGCTGTATTGTGTGTAATGCACTTTATTGACCTAACCACTGAACTTTCAAGTCGATTCCCAATTTGAGGCACACTATTTTACACTATCGTATCATCTGCTCACTCTTTAGTTGTTGAATGTTCTCCATGTAGCAAGTGGATTTTGAAAGGTTAGAAGTTACCACAGTTACCTCTTTCGTCGAAAGTTGATTAGAAATGGTATTTCTTGCAGGAGACAAATCGTTATGAGATAGATGATACCTGAAGACATATGGTTGCGTTTGTTATAAGACTTTAAGTAACAAATGTAATCAGTTTTTGCATTGCGGTGTTGCTTAATTACACACAAGATTAGTCTATTTGATACAGCTCTGATAGTATAGGTTACTAGATGAAGTTCCGAACAAACTTATTGATCATCATCATTTCAGAGTAATGACAGCATACTGTCTTAGTTTTTTAATAGTTCTATTGCTTTTCATTCTTTGATTTGATTGGTAGTAGGATTTTACACATATCTGGAGTCGTTGTTGATTCGTTCCTACTACACGCGTTAGGGAGTGGGATCAGTCCTGGTGGGTCAGTAACCGACGAAATCTCTGCGGACGCAAAAGGCTCAGTTGGCTCTCCCCAACAACTTGCGTCATATGTAGCCATGACATCTTATTGTCGATTGTGTCGAATGTAATGTGCTTCAGTTTGCTCTGTTCTGTTGTATGGGTGCGAAATATGGTCACTAAAGGTAGAGAACATGAGGCGTCTGGTGTTTGACTTTCATCGTCGTCTTAGCATAGGTCGCGTGTCATGGTGTCACCATATGAGTAACGCAGAAGTCAGGTGTGAGGTTTTCGCAAGCAGAGGGAAGTCAGTGAATGAGGTCTCGAACCGTTATCGGCTGAGATGGCTACGGCATGTGTTACGAATACCCAGTCACCTTCTATCTCGTCGCAAAATGTTTGCGGAAGCATGTTCAGGGTGGAAATAGTATCGGAGCGGTCACACTAATTATTGCATCACTGCATGAAGTCCTTGACTGTTGGTTTGAGGCATGTAGGGAGTTGCTAGCTAGCCGGTTGGGGTCCGTGTGACAACCGAAATCAGCGATTGAAGACTAGGTTATGTGACTCAGAATAGATGTCATATCCGCAGATGTACCAACACACGATCTTGATCTTTATCTTAATCACTGCTTAAATTAAGTATTTTCTCATTCCTCTTTCTGTTTTACTGCTTTCGATTTTTTCTCATTTCTTCGCCTTTCATCTTATTGCTTTGTTACTTGATGTGCTGATATGTGTATCAAATTGACCCGTTATGAAGTAATGCCTGGTCCTATGTTAATATTGATTGATTGATACGCGTTCGGTGTTGAATGGATGAACTAAGGTTCAGCGATTAACCACTCTCAATTTAGCCCGATTGGTCTTAGCATGGTTGCTTTGTCATACCCTATCATGTGATTGTGTTATTGCATGTATGGCTGTAGCTCAATTCTTATCTGAATTATTCATCTCGGTAGGGTTCGTCAATCTAGACTTAGCTAGGTTGCTATGTTCTGCCAACCTGACTGACCTTTATTATCTAGTTGGGGATATTTACTTTACCGCACAGTCGGTAACTATTTAGTGAATCAAGCTTTCGTCTAATGGAGTCAAATTTCGTTTCTGAGCCAGTCTTTCAGGTTGAATGCCGTTATAATCTCAGCCTTCTTGAGAGTCCTGTGTAGGGTTTCCAATGTCTTTTCGTCACAAAGGAACACTGTATAGACACAACCTAGAACGTTTTCTATCTCTCACTCTGCGAAGATTGCAAATGATCCATTCCTTGCTATCAAATCCCGCTGTCAGTTTCTCACTGTCTCTTTTAGCGTTCGAACCCTAGGCCAAATAGGACAGCAAGCATTGCTCACTAGAACTCTGGAATCTCGAGCCATCAGTGTTTGTGTTTCTGCTACACATAAACGGGACTCAAGTGTCGTTATTAAATTGACCTCACCTGGCCATTGTAGTGAATTTTCAAAATTTTCTTTATAGTTGTCCGGAAATTTAGTGGTTAGCTCTTGTGAACACATTATTTTAGGCTTAGTATTAAGTTGGAGAGCAAGAAGTGCACTTGACTGGATGCCAGTGGACGACCGTTTGTCTGCTGAAGGGCCGTAAGACTTGCAGATGCCTATTTATAACCTACTCAACCACTGACTGCAATTTGGATGATGCAGAAGTTAAATTCTATGAGAAGCTGTCAACTTTCATACAGAAAGATAAAGGCCCAGGTGTAGTCATAATAGTAGGCAAACTGAGCCAATCAAAACGGTATTTTGGGGGTATTTACGGAATTCTATACCGCCGAACCGACAGTGGTGATCGTCTGTTGCAGTTTGGTCCTGAAAATCACTTGTTTATGGCTAGTACTAACTTCAAGCATAAGGAAAGTCTCACATGGTGTCCGCCAACATCAAACCGACGATGGACATAAGTAAATCATGATACTTGTAACCAGCCATCGTTTGAGAGGGTCGGTGGAGGATTGCCGCTCATTCTGAAGTACCTGTTTGAAGTCTGAGTTAGTACGGATGTGTGTATGCACCACAGGTAAAACTGTACGTACTCGATTGCAAGACGAAGACGTCAGGTACGCATTTAGGGTGGAGATAGACATTTATCTGAACGTAAAAGCAATGCTCATCTTGATAAAACCTGGTGTGATATTCGGTGTGCTGTAGAAACCTCATCTGAACTGACTAGTACAAAAAGACTCATTCAGGATGGTTCTGATCACAATGAGGAGCGAAAGCAACTTAAACGTAAATTGATCAATAATCTTCGCAATGACCACGAGCAGTGGTGGGTAACGAAAGCGAGAGATGAAAGCGTCAGCGCTAGGTAGTATCTGGCAACTATTTAGGCTTAATAAAGACACCGGCAAAAAGAAAATGACGATTTGTGAAACCAACACCGAAAAGGATGAAACACTGATAACTCTTCAAGATAGGAGACTAAAACGCCGCGCAAAACACCTTGAGATCCGATTCAACTGGCCCGCAGCAACACTTGAGTTGTCCAGCATCCAGGCCGCGGGTGAGTGGGAGGTAGATGTCGGTCTTTCAACTCTCGCTGAAGTTGAGGAGGCTGTTTCAAACGTGAAACAATATAAAGTAGCAGGACCTGACCGTTTGCAACCAAAAGATTTTAAGGATGGAGGGAAAAAATACTGAGCAGAGTAGTTGGGGTACTATGTTGTGTGTGAGAATCAAAAGTAGTTCCGCCGGACTGGTCTACTTCACTGATCATTCCAGTTTATAGGAAGGGAAAGAAGTTCTATGACGTCTATGATAGAGATCAGTTTAACTTACAACGTGTTCGGGATCCTGGGACCCATTGTTATCCGACGTCTAAAAAGAGCTCAAGAACAGCCAACTCAGGAAAACCAGGCAGGTTTCAGACCTAGACGAGGGTGCATGGATCACATTTTCACCATCTGACAGGTTCTGGAACACAGGCATACTTACTGATCGGTGGCTGACACCTACCATCTTTCTTAAACTGAAGCCGTCATTCGACTCTGTCGACTGTGAAGTGTTGTGGCAGTGTCTGACCGTGGATGGAGTACCGGGCAAGTGTATAATGCTTGTCAAAACTCTACTCGAACTCACGCATCCGTGTAAGAGCTTATGGATAGTTGTCATCAGAACTGAAGGAGACTAGTGGTGCCCGCTGTCATTGTTTGCGTTCAACTTCGTTACAGGTGTAATAATAGGCTACCTTAGGTGCGTCTGACTTCATGGGAACTAGTCTTCTCCTCAGAAGACATACGACTGGCTTAAAGTACCCAGAAAACGCTTTCCAGCCAGGTGAAGACGCTGACGAAATGCAAGACTTTCTGAAGGCCCCACGTATAAATCTGAGTGTTTGGCAAGCATTTTGAATCTTTGAAATGTAAGACGATACTTCTGAAATAATTTGCATGGAATCCTTGTTTGAGGATAGAGAGTGTAGTGATAAATAAAACTGACCACTGGACTGAAAAGTTGCATCAGCCTGAATGGATTAGTTAGTCATGAAATCTCAGGTTGGATGCAGAAGTCTAGTTTGACATTTTCCAACTTACGTCATCTCTGGTGGCAGCTTGCCAGCTCCCCAACTTCCTGTTAAAAGATGAGTATAAAGCACCGTGGTCAACTCCACCCTAATATACAGCTGTGAAATGGCCGTTTAAAGTAGACGATATGGAAAAGTTGCTGGATGCTGAGCACAGGTGTCTTTGCAGAACTGCTCACATATGGTGGTTCAGGTTCAGGCTACCTGGCTGACGCATACCGCTTCGGTTCTCATAAGTCACACTTCCACCAGCACTCACACAATTATTAAGGTATACAAACCTTTCGACAACTAACGACTCATAACCAATGATCAGTGCACATATAGAGTCCTACGAATCCTAAGGAAGGACTTTACACTTGGATGGTGCAAAGCGAATATATTGCTACAACACTCATCGATAACTGAACGGGTTCAATTTGAATACCCAGTACTATTTCGTCTTGCTAAACAACATCATCTTCACACTCCAGGTTGAAAAGTCTTACACTCTGTGACAGGTCTAGCTAGAAAATGTTTTGGTACCCGAAATTAGATTAACTTGTCAGTCTCTCACTAGTTTAGACATTTAGAAGATGTTTCTTTTCATAATGAATTAATTTCCTCCCAGTATTTTATATCATGAACATCAAAACAGTATTTAGTGATTAAAGAATACTTTTTTCATACATTTGGATCCTTTGATAAAAAACAGAGCTAGATTTTAGCTATCGCTTCTACAAAGCATAGTAGTCTAGCCATTTTGTGTACATTTAGTATTTTAAAAGCACTAGAAGTAACAACTTGATGTCTTTTGTCTATGAGGTATTTACTACTTGGACTGGTTAGAATCTTGAGCACTTCATTTTGTTTTGCGAACGTAGTTCTTCTTGTATTTGTAATAGCTGAACCACTTTTTTTGAAAATATTCATTTTTGGAAATAACAGCATTCGTGATCCTTCACATAGTCGAATTTGTAGCCTATCCTGGCATCCACATCAAGGTAGAAATCTTCTATTCGCTAACGAAAATGGGTCAGTAGGACTTATCAGTACACCAGATGTGCAGGTATTTCTGTTTTATTTTTCTTTGTAGCTTTTTTTGCCGTACATATTAGAAGTTATTCTGATGCTTTATGTTTTTTTGTTGTTGATTATGAGATGCTTACAAACCCTGGCAATATCTATCTTTACTATCCACTAACTAAGAGCAAGAGAAATAGTCAAAGGTGTTGAATTTATTATGATTGGCGTATTGAAGTCGTCAATTAAATCTCTATTGAGAGTCTTGTTGTCATATTTGTTCCCCTTTTTGATGTTGACTAACTGACTCAATTTATCTTCAGATTTATGGAGATTTTATTTTTGAGGTTGTATTCATCATGGACTGAAATCAGTTGGAATCATTGATAACCTAAAACTATTGAATAACTATTTCATCCTAGTTATGCGACTTCTCATCAGTATGCATAATTGTTTCGTACAACTAGATCTTTGGTGACTTGCAGTTGAATGTATCAAAAAATCTATTTTTCCTAAAGTTTTAGGCTACTTCATTATTTGTTTTTCATTCAGTAGTGACTAGCTATGCGCTTCTGCATGCACGTATTGTATATAGAAAATACATTTCAACGTTAGGTATGGTAGGATATTATTGATTGACACTGATAGTTTTGTCTGGCAGAAGAATGCTGATAAAAAAGACAAGATATTCAGCGAAGAGGATAGTTTCCAACGTATTTATTCTGAGGCTGTATATGATATTTAAAGACTGCAATCCGCAAGGAATATTTAACTCAAATAATGAGAGGTTGAAATAATAATGTTGTTATTTGATGACGTAAAAGCTGAATGATAACTAAAAGGGCTTACGTAAGATTTTTCTATTGTGGTGATTTACTTCGTTATGGCTAGCATTGGAATCCAGGAAGCTCGTCTTGTCCTATTTGGGACTCGTCAGCTGAATGTACAAACAACCCAGCGAACGATTTTGTTTCCACTGAAACTCGAACCTCGTACTCACCGCTTTAAACGCCAAAGCGTTATCCACTGGGCCACTGAGGCACGATAGTTACCTCATGTACAACGGGTATTATTTACAACTATTTGTTGATACATGTGATTTTCCGTTGTTATACTGGGTCGAATTGTTTGACCTCTGTTGGCATATGGGCTTCTGTGCGATTAAGTGTAACAAAGGGAAATTACAAGTATATCAAAATACCCGCTGTACAAAAGGTGGCTATAGTACCTCAGCGGCCCAGTGAATAACGCTTTGATATTTGGGTTGATGAGTACCAGGTTCGAGTCTCAGTGGGGACACCATCTCTCACTGAGATGTAGGTATATCCAGCTGACGAGTCCCAAATAGGACGAAATGCGCGTCCTGGATTCCTCTGCTAGCTACAACCAAGTAAAATATCATAATGAACATTCAGGCAATACCGAGGCATCCACACAGAGAAGCTCATATACCGATAGGGGTCGAACAATTCGATTCAGTGTAGCAACGGAGAATTACAAGTATATGAATAAGTAGTTATTTTTCAGTCGTTTGTAAGGTGCCTATAGATTATAAAGGGGTGAAAACGTGGTGGAGTTAATAAACAATCAAAAGATTAGGTAATATGAATAAGACAAGTTAGTTGGAATAAATTGAAAATGTTTTGTTAAAAGTTGCAGTAATTGGGAAGATTAAATGAAGTAACACTGGAAACTATTAAACGTAGAATTAAAAATGGTAACGACGATATAAGTTAATCTAACAGGGGGGGGGAGTTGGAAAAACAGAGAGAAACGAAACAAACCAAGACCAAATTAAGGTAAGGCCAAGGTCTAGGCAGATACTGTACATACTTCTTTTGCACACAAAGTTCATGTATAACCAAAGCAATCTGGTGTTTTTAGAAGTTAAAGACGGAGGAAGCGTGAGATGCCTGAGAAAATTAGATAGACAACCTCAAAATCATTGTTTGGGCCGGTTGAATGCTTGGAATCGACTAGATGTTCAAGGATAGAGCTTCTGATGGATTTCCTTTCACTTTTATAAAACCAGGATGGAATATGTTCTCGTATACGTGTTGAAAGCGATCTCTGTCTACGGTCGGTCTGGCCTATCGAGTGGTATTGTCTTTTTCACAAACGGAGAACAATCTATGACTAGTAAAGATCAAATAAAGTTTGGCTGCGAAAAAAGCTCCTACTAATTGATCGCAAAAAACGATTTTTCAGAATGTCTGGTGCTATATCACCTTCAAAGTCCAGACTCATAGACTACATCTTTCGGAAACTGAACTGATGACTGGTTTCTCATGTCTTTCTCGCATATTCTTATCAACAAATCGTTTAGGATAGCCGTTTCCGCAAGCATCCCTCTTAGAAAATCAAGTTAAACTTGCACAATGTCTGTACCACAAATATTACGTATTCAATAACAGTGAGTGTATAAGGTTTCTATTCATTTTTCATGATCGGCATCCAACTGTAGATATAAGTAAGCTGTCCGTTCCTAGTTGCTTTTTTTGTAAATGGATCTTTTTAGTGTTCCATTGCTACGTCTCATAATTAGCACGTCAAGGGAAGGAATAGCTGATTCCAAGCCACACGTTGGACGTTTTGTTGACTAACAATCAATAACGGTAATAATAATAATAATATAACTAATTGCCTTTTATGTTCACAGTTTTTCTCTTTCTTCTTGTCCGTTTTCAGCCTTCTTCTAATGATGCTTTATCACCAAATAGGATAGCTGAATTAATGGGTTGTGATGAAGATGGGGATACAGCAGATTTGTTAAGCGCCGCTGCAGCCCAGGCCGAATCCAGTAGACTTGTAATTGATGATGAAGCCGCTAATCATTTGAAAATGGATGATAGTGATTCAGATTCAATAGACTTATCCCGAATTAAGTCTGGTTACATGTCTCTCAATGATGAAGAGGAACAGAAACCAGACCTAGCAAAAATCGAGATTAAATCAGCTGTTCCTATCACAGAAGGTGATATTTTTCAAAGAAGGGATAGTCTTCCGATTTCATCTTTACAGAAACCTTTCCAACCAGGAGCAACACCAGTTGGTGAGCAGTACATATGTTTCTTTTTGTAGGCCAACTAAATTATGAAATGAGAATTTCAGCTTTTCTTATCTCTCTCTCAGGTGTTTTATGCATATACTTTCAAATTTACCAGTAAGCTAATATTCTCATCAACTGTTGAAATCCACTGGTTTTTATTTCCTGTCTACTTTTTCAACTTTAGGCTTTCGTGAACGTTTCATGGTATGGAATAGAATTGGTATCGTGACACAATTTAAGGATACAGATGATTTTCAAATAGAGGAGGAAACTTCAAATCAGTCTACTGGAGGAAGTATAGAAGTTGAATTTCATGATAGTAGTCTTCATCACAGTTTACGATTATCCAATAACTCTGGCTATTCTATGGCGGATCTAAGTTTAACTGCTTTATTACTAGCATCTAAAGTTCGTCTCTCATTTAAAAATAACTTTTCCATATTTTCTAAGCCACTAAAGTCTTGTTGACATGGTGGTTTTCACTTCTTGTTGAATAGTTTTATAACAGCTGTAATTTATCAAAACACACCTAGGATTATTGTTAGTTTCAAGTTCGGGCACTTCAGTGGAGTGTAATTCCATGAAGTTTTTAAGATTGTGTAGTTATCTCGATACGATTGTGAGAGATAGATTGAAGTTGAAACGACATTTAGTAAGTAGTGCTGTGTTACTATGCTAAACCATACTGTCTAATATGAAATTGCATATAATACTGTTCTGAAACGACGCTATAACGTTTTGAATGTGGTTTTTTCTTTGGTCAGTTTAGTTTTGGTTGTTTTGAATTTCTTTTTAAGAAATTCGAGACCAAATGATTCTTTAACAAATACACAAGACGCCTGAGTTAGTTACATGCGAACCTCAAACGCCGGATCTCTTTGAAATGCGGTGCTACATCAGTGAACAATAATGGACGATTCTTATAATTGACCTAGTGGTTGCTGGCAGTGGAATCCTGGACTCGTCTTGCTCTCTTTGTGAGTCGTCAGCTGGATATGCCTAGACTTCAGTGAGTAATGGTGTCCTTACTAAGACTCGAACCCAGTACCCATTACTTCAAATGCCAAAGCATTACCCACTAGGTCACTGAGGCACGATAACCACTCACAAAAAGCATTTGTTATTATTATTTGTTGTTACTTGTAATTCCCCGTTGTTATACTGGATTGAATCAGTGGACCTCTGTTGACATGTGGGCTCCTATGCGGAGCCCTCGATATTGCCTGGATATTTATTGTTATAATGCAGTAGCCAATGAGCTACACATATTGTGTGAGGGCTGATAATGTTATCTGGCTGCCCAAAGCTTGGGAGATGGAGCGGGACTCAAACTAGTGAGCCAGTGACTAACAGTCGTCTCCCTAAACCTCTGAGCCACAACTCCACATTGTTGTGACTGACTTGGTGGCGGCTAGCAATGGAATCACGGACATATGGTGTCGGTGGGCTTATCACCACCAAAGCACCTTACAGAAAGTGCGTTAACAATACAAACCATATAGAGAACCAGAGGAAAATACGAAAAACGTGCGGATTTCTGCGATGAGATAAAAGACACGAAGGAAACAAATGTTCAAAATTAAATAATGCAATAGAGAACAACTGGATGGAACCCAACACAAACTGGGAAAAATACTGATAACCTGAGATGCTAAATGACGAAAAATTATATTGTAACTGAAATGAACAATCAAAGCTGAGGATAATAGTTTTCTTGGAAGGAAATGAGTTACACTACTCATTTGTTTGTAAGTAGTACAAATCTTTATGCACAAAAGAGTACTAGCATAAACTCGATAAAGGATGAAATTAGAACTCAGTGGGAGAAAAATTAACAGTCATTTAGATATTTCATTGAACTCCATTTTTAGATCTTCATATTTGAATTCATTTTAGCGTTGTTTTTGTTGGAAATTAAACATGCATTCAATATTAAAAGAGTTGAAATCAAGATATTTGACTTTCACATTTCAATCAATCAGTACTGCGTAACGGTCCAACTTGCCACACCTCATATCAGTGCATCAAGTAGAAAAGTAGTGAGGTGAAGGATGAAGATAAGTGAATGCAGTCAAAATAAATATAAAGTACGAGAAGAAAGGAAAGAGGAATGACGAAATGGTGAGATTGGGTATTGCGTCATTAAGATGAGGATAATGTGTGTATACATCTGCGCCACTGACATCGGTTCTGAGCCATATCCCCTAGAGTCTCCAACCACTGGTTCCTCTTGTCCTGCGGACCCCAACCACCTAGTCTGCATCACCCCTACGTGGCTTAAACCAACAGTCAGAGACTCAAGTTTCTTCTGACTTTCACATTTATCCTATATCAGACATCGACCTTACTGTTGCCGACAATTGTTTTTGTTTATATCAGAACTTTGCATAGTATATCGACTTGATTAAAATTTTTCACGTTAATTGGTTTCACTCTGTATCATAATCCTGAACTAGGTTTCCAGAGTTATGAGATGGTTTACTTGCCCAAGAATTTCAGCTGAAAATGAACGTGATCCGTTACTGTGATAGTACTTACCACATGAATGTATAGCACCGATGATTGAAACATTGGTATTTATGCCTTGCATGGTGTATTTAATTATTCTTATGAATGAAGAAAACACGTGTGCTCATCGTTTTTCAGTGTTCGTTAGAAGATTCGTTTGTTTGCTCCGGAAACTGAACCTACTGTGTATATCCATTTTCTTGCCTAGGACGGCTTGTATGTTTATCCAATATCATCTAGTTATAAATTGTAAACGTTATTAGTGAAACTAGATATAATTTGTATTTGTGTCAGTTACAGCGTGTTTGAAATGGAATAATTCTAACATTTCGCACGGAGGTTTAATCCGAGCTTCTTCATGGAAATAATCAAAAATTAAAATGTCACAGATTTATAAATGAATCCAAAAACATCTTTATAACCTAACAACCATGTGCATTTACTTCTAATAAGTAAAGAACTAAACCTGTTGTTGTGTAAAAGCTAATAGTACTGGCTGTCCAGAACTTATTGGGTGAGGTGTGATTATAACTTGTGACCAAGTAGTGGTTAGATATCTATTACTTAGACGAATGAACCATAGCTACTCCAGAAGTAAAAATAAAGATGAAGAAATAACTTAGAGCTAAAATTAAAGGGGTGGTAGGTATGAAGTGAATTTTTCAGGGTTTTGAGGGTGAAACGTTAATCCATTTGTACCTTTATCATAGATTTCAAATCACTTTATTGAAAGACACTGGTTAAATACTTTGGTCGTTTCTCATACGTCATCCAGAAAGCCAACATTTATTCATCACATGGCTCAAATTAGTAGTCAAAAGCTTAATGGATTGAAAATATGTCTTGTTTTTGCAACCTTGAGACTCCTATACTTCTCTTAATGCTGCTAGCACACTGCATCGCGACAGTTTGTGGAGAGACATTTGTTTTATTCCTTTAAAAAAGATGTGGTATTATAGCTGCTACCTTGACGTGGTGGTCAGGCTTGCATATCACAATGACCCAACGAGCTATGCTGGTGGAACACTTGTTCCCTCAAGGTCCTACCATAGCAGAAAGGTCTGTTGGATAGTGTTTAGACGAAAAGTAGTTACCGTTGTGGTGTAAATTACTACACTATGATGGGGTTCTGATGGCGAAGTCGTACTACTGCTAGCTGGATGGAGTGTGACAGCAGTAATGTGTTTCCCTTGGATGACCAGCAGTGCCATGTTGATGCTGCCTTCTGAGTGTAATGGGGGTGGGGTGTGTTAGAAAAGGTCGGTCCCAAAAATAGCACACTCCATCATGCCCCACGGTCTGTGGGGCCGGCGGTGTTGGTTCATTTGTCGTTTTTTTTCAACCATCCGTCCCAAAAAATACAAAAGTTCAAAATAATCATACTCAAAAGGCTACGTGTGATAGGCCTCAAGCAGATGTCTGATGGGTTGTGCGGTCACACAAATTCCTTTCAGGTACTTGAAGAAGAAATAGCCTTCCACGGTGTGGGCAGTCGGAAAGTGTCAACCGCCCTCACAACTCGATCAGCACTCAAGTTTCTTCAGACTAAAGGAGACCTTTTATAACGAGATTAAACGTAGATAGAATTAATTTGTCATCCATTTCTTGTGCTTCATCATGCAAACAGCCTGTGTGTTAGGAGGAAAACGGTAGAATAATTACCGATATTGATTTTGAGCCATAGTTACTAACATGTGCATAGCGTCTGTGACTTCACCTTGTGAGAGATGCACCGACAGATTGTATCCCAATGCAATTATCCTTCATTACTGGAAGTCATTTCTGCATTTCTACCAGCCAGTATCATCGTGACTAAGTAGTTTTTCATGCAGAAGCTGCTTGGATAGTATGCAAAAAACCTATATATAAGATCACCGAATCCTATGTAAGGTAGCTTCATAAACTCTGAATTCATATCCTGCCACTCTTAGCTGTTTAGGGAGGTGTGGATTAGCTGGGCTCTATGAGACAGTGCTACTCAATATATATCAGCTCAAATAAGCCTTGAGAAGACCTTGGTGAATGACTAAATACTTTCTAACTTGTCTTAGTTTCCTGAGCTGATATTTTCCCTTGTACCCAAAGTTTGCTTACATATTGTCTTTGGATTCATACTTCAATCTGGCAACACTATATTTGTTGAAAACGTATTGTCATTGAGTAGTCTGCATACTACTTCTTTGAGTTTTTCATGTCTAAGTAGGTGCATTGTGGAGACTTTCGAGTTCTAAACAAAACATTGTTCTCAAAATAGCATATCTTAATGGTAGCTACTATCGTCTTCACGTTTAAACAGTATTCCTATGATAATGAGTCATTGACTTCTATATTTATTTTGATATTATTGAAAAGTTGATTTAAATGTGATAACCTATAATTTCATCTTTTAGGGCTCGGATGATTCCAACTTGGAAGATTTAAATCAGGATGAACAAGAGGAGTTATATGACCTTAGTCGGATTGCAGTATTACCCCTGGATGTTGGCAGTACAAACGTTGGTGACGCTTCTGTAGAATGGACTACAAATCTTCCCCGGGGGAACTATGTGATGCTGCCTGCTTAGTTACTGAAGAAAGTCGGAATCGAACGGAGAGTCCTGGTTATGCTGTTATCGCTACCTCTAAGCGTTTGTTACGCATTTTTACTCAACCATCTTCATCTGTATCTGTACAACGTTCAACTAATTTGCATCTACTTCAGATAACTAGATTAGGTTTGCCACCTGTTTGCCTTGCTGGTCAGCATACTGTTGTGATGGCGAGTCATCCTACAAGTCCTGTCCTAGCTGTAGTAACATGTAATATAGTAGGTGAGTTGGAATGGAGAGTGTTTTACCTGGGTGGAATTATGTTAGGATCGAATCGAACGCCAGCCCCATTATGGATACAAAGTGCTTTATCTATTTGGCAGCCTTTACCACTTAGTCCTCCAGGAAAACTTTCAATGGCCTGCGACAATACACTGATTCGTTTAATGTGGTTTGGTTTCTCTGATACTGGAGGATTATTTACGTATGACTCAAACGGGGTTGTACGGCGTCTCATTCATGGTCGTTCTCAAAAACACCCAGAATTTCATTGGATTCCTGTTTGTGATACAAGAAGCATATTAAAGCAAGGCAACAGACGAACAGATAATTATTTTGTTGTTGGAGTCTTAGAGTCTTGTGAATCAATGGAAAGTTTACCTTCTGAAGCTAAGAAGGATCAAAATCCAATACCGTTGGATTTGGTCAGTTACAAGCAATTTACTGCAAAGCATCAAAGTGGCCTAGAGTTTTTCCTCGACCTGTAGTATCAAATCTACCTTTTCGTCTACCTCTATGTTCGTTGAATACTGATCAAGGTGAATTGGAGGTTAGTTTCACCAAAAGTTGATGAATATCATATTATTCTCATTTAAAATTAGTTTTTATTGTTGTGGCATAATTTTCTAATGTTGTTGTTACTTCTTATCACATTAGGTCTCCCTCTCTCAACGCATTTGTCGAGGTTATGGGATTTGGGAGAATACAAATATAATTATTGGAAGTATAGTTTGTCTGATATAAAAGTATCTAGTACTTCTCGAGCGCTATGGTATGCAGTTACAAACGTGAATTTTAGATGTTGTTTGCTGACTGAACACTTGAGAAGTTTTATTCGTCTCTTTAATAATCAGTAACATGATACAATGACTGGGCTTCTGTACATCATCAGTATGATTATTATTTACTGTTTGAGTGGATGATCCCTGAAAGTATTCTCAAGAAAAAATGAATCAGTAAAGCAGAATCGAAGCAGCTGACTTTCAGGACTAAAGCTCAGGTAGTAGCAACACTATCAGTGGGTCATTTAAAGCCTCATATTTTAAAGTATAATGATATTAACGCATCTTCGTGTGGTCAATTATTCATATAGAATAATAACTCACTGATAGTCTCCTTCCAATTCATAATTTACTAAACAGGTCAACCTTCATTTTTTGCCAATAGGAAAATTATCTACAATGTTTAATTAACGAAGATTGGCCAGTTTGGGGTCCGAACGCTAATAATGCGGATGAAGAGATACTATTGCATTTATCTTCTCTAAATACAAAATCTTTAACCAAACGAAAAGCAGTTCTACTACGTTTATTCGCGGTAAGCCTATCCTTTATCTTGTTTTCCATCATATTATAAAATTCGAATTTCCTGTGTAGTCACATTTCATCTTAGAGAAAGTCTCGTGTACTGATTCACTAGTTAGTGATATAAAATTACAAATGAGGTTTTAAGATAAATAGCGTAGAATATCCGGTTGACTAAAGTGTTACCTGGTGAATATACAGAGAACAGTGTGAGCGGTGTTGAAGTCAGGTGAAGACTGCCGGGCAAGATATGTAATTCGATTGATGAGATTGTGAACCTTCATTGGCTAAGGTGGCTTAAACTTGTACTGCGCATGCCGATCCACCGCCTACCTCGACATGCCATCCTATAGGAACCTGGATTAAGTTATAAGAGGGTTCAGGATGGCTAGACTAAAACATGGCATCAGTCCGTGAAGTCCTTAACTCCTGGTTTGAGTCGTATGAGGAGATTTAGACTGTCTTGCTGAGGTTCCCGAGATGATAGGAATCAGTCGTTGTGGATCCTTGGTGACATGGCTGGAAATTGTTCATAATGGCGCAGATGTATTCACTCCTTGACGTCTTTTAAAGCATGAATATTTACGCTGAACTCTGTCTTCAAATTGTTTATTCTCTCATACAACTTTGTCTACTTTGATATCACTCTTTTTCTATGCCCCCCCCGTTCCTTGTATACTACTGGGAAATGTGGTAGTTTGTGAGTCGATGCACTTGTGTGTGAGGTTCTACGTTGACTCTTTGTCTGCTTCCTATCAGTTGCATACCAACGTTAAATTAACGACTAATTAGTAAAATTTATGAATACATACTTTAGATATGTTTGTCTCTTTATACGTGTTAAAAATTTCATCTGTATCAAGAATTCAGTTGTAAGAGGAAGATAATAAACCGAGGAGATTTTAGAAAGAACAAGGATTACAAATCACTGATAATTTCTTTTCTAATCTGGTAGGTAACGTTACGGTTTTAAAAACGAATTTTAGACGGAGAAAACTATCAGGAAAATGAGTTGTTGAACAATTATTATTATTATTTGTCCCTTGGGTTCCTAGTGGAACATAGGGCTTCAATATCACATCTCCATTGCACTCTATTCTCGGCAGTATTTTCAACCTGGCTCCACGACTGTGCAGGAGTACCAAATAGAAATTTCTCACTACCTCAGGACAAAAACATTAAAAAAATTTGTTAGGTCCACTTTGGTTTCTTGAAGCTTTGAGAACCAGATATTCTTGCCTGAGAGAGAGAGAGAGGTAGGGAGAGACTGTGGCTCATTATTCTCAAATCAATATTGTCTTAGCCACATGGCTTTTTTCCTGTGAATCGATCGGATTTTAATTACAGTTATATTGGATTTTATAATTTATCATACCGCTTGTGTAATTCACTAATTGTTCAACAGGCTGGCTTCAGGAAGGACAAATTATGTGCTGACTAAATTGCAGCGCTAGGCTGCGCATCATCATAGAACAGAGCGTAGAATGGCAGTTAACTCAACTCAGCCCCAGCTTCATCGACTTTCAAAAGGCCTTCGATAGCGTCGACCGAGAAGTAATTTGGCAGCTGCTTCAACACTACGGTTTTAGTGTCACAAACCTTTATCAACCTCATTCAACAGATATATGAAGACGTCACATGCCAAGTAATTCACAGTGGGAAGCTCAGTGATGCCTTTGAAGTGAAGATAGGAGTAAGACAAGGCTATCTACTATCACCCATGATCTTCCTGTTTGTGGTCGACTGGATCATGCAACAAACCGGGAGGAGCGAGAAGATGGGCATACGATAGACCGGGGGAAAAGATACTAGAAGATTTGGATTTCGCTGAGGATACTGTATGTCTGATGTCGCACAAACTCGAAGATCTACAGGCGAAAACTAACAGGGTGACATAAGATGCAGCGAGGACGGGACTTCCCGCAGGTGAACGTAGAGAAGACAGAGGTGATGATGATACCCAACTAACAACAGCATCAACAACAAGCACCAATCACCATCAACAGGAGAAACCTAAAGGAAGTAGTCTCTTTCACCTATCTAGGCAGCATCGTTTTGATTACAGGCGGCATAGACGAGGATGTCAAGATCAGGATCGGAAAGGCAAGACAGACCTTCATTAATTCGAAATCAGTGTAGAGATCTACTACACTCATCACAAAGAACAAGATCTGGATTTTCAACACCAACGTCAAGTCAGTGCTGCTATATGGTTCAGAAACTTGGCGCATCACGGAAAGCATTCCCAATAAACTACAGACATTCATCGACAGCTGCTTACGCTCGATACTGAATTTCAGATGACCAGAATAATAAGAATAAGCAACAAGGAACTCTGGCAACGAACCAATCAACAACCTATCACCCAATAAATATGCAGTAGAAGGAAGTGGAGATGGATGGGATTGGGCATACGCAGAGAAGGCTGATTGAGGACATCACGCACCAGTCCGGGTTGTCGCGTGGAACGCAAAGGGGAAACGACGAGTTGGGCGTCCCAGCTGAAGGTGACATGGGATCATGTGAGGGAGGAATGAAAGCTTGTGAGTAGTCGTAGCGCCAGGTTGAAAAGACTGCAGAGAAGATAGTGTAATGGAGGCGTGCTAGTGAAGCCCTATGTTGCACTAGGAAGCCAAAGGACAAATAAGAATAATAAATAAAGCAGAATATTTGCGTGCTTTAGATAAAGTTAATGAGCACGTACGCTATCAAAAACTAAATGTATCTTGTGAGCTGATGCATAGACCTTCACCTGGTAGATGATTTGCTTTTTTTTTACTCAGTAGTATTAAGTGATACTGAACTAACAGTATTGAAGCTTTTTCCAGTGAACTTTTCTCTCCAGTTATCTCTGTCTTTTGATATCTCTCATCTTCCTTGAATGCTGGATAGATGTTCAGGTCTTCCAGTGTATCTGATGTATTTTTAGAGTAAAATTCTTGAGGTATCTGCTCTCAGCATTTCAACAGGGGATAATTTTCGTTCCATTTTGTTCTGTGACCATCTTTTTTTTTGCTGTGTTTTGATTAGAACCTTACTCATAATTGAGAAGATAAATAATATTGTAGTTCAGAAGTTGATCCGTCTACATATTCCACTAAATAGGATGTTCAGTTCTGGTTTAGTAAATAACCAACTGTACTGGTAATTGGATAGATTGATCATGGAGTGAGTCCACATTGTAACCTTCAACATCTTCCGAGATTGTCTTAAATAGTCATTTGAATGCATCAATCAAAGACACAACATATCGTCGGGTTTTTTTATCGACACCTCTATTTTGTGCTTGCACGAGTCACTAGAATTATTTAACGCTTTCAACTAAACTCACCTTGAATGGAATTTTACTTGAAAGTATAAAGGTGTAAATAGATTTAACTTCTAAGAACTGAGTGTAGAGTATGCAGACGATGCTACAAATATCAGGAAACCCGTACTTTAAAAAATCTTTCATATATTCTCCTCTATGAACTTGAGTCGCCAAAAAATAAAATTATTTAGTCGTGTAACTCAACCATGTTTTATGTGTATACGCTAGGGTATGAACCACGATTTTTGTGTGATAATTTACGATACTACATGGTTGCTCAAGCTTCACACGCACTCAGCCACCTATTGTACATTCCTTCAGCAGGCGATGAGCCACACTTAATGTGTTAGAGGGGTGTTCGGATCAACAACCTCCTGGTTGATAGTCATCTTCCTTAAACCATTGAACCACAGCTCCATCAACCCTTTTCACTTATTTAAGTTTGGGCAGCTAGGTGGTAATATCAACCCGCACAAAATAGATGTGATTTGCCACCTACCGCATAAGTGTGTATGTGGTTTCTGAGTGCTTTTTCTCACCAAAAATTTTACAGCTATTTTCGGTAATCTTATAAAATTTCAGTGACACTATCAAGTGTCTGTACTATGGACAAGTTGCACATGGCACCACTGAGCGCGGCTATTCAGTTTGATGTATAGTTCATATATTAAATGTTAATTTTGACCAGTAATAGTTCATTATCGACCGGGTTTTTTTGTCTTGTTTTTGCTTTACTTAGCTGGCAGCAAAACTCGAATCCGACTGGGCTAGCATTGCAGTTGCTCATCTAATGCCAGATGCAGCAACGGTTCAGCTTGCTATTAGGTATGCTGGTCGACTAAGACGTCAAAATCTCGCTCATCGTTTAGCAGGTGTTGCATTGGAGAAAGAACGCCAGGTATCAGAGCGTGTTGATGATGAAGATGATTGGGAAGGTACACCACGGAATTCAACATATCAGGCCAAGTCAAACAGGTTCGTACCTCTGTAAACTAGACATTATTTGTAGTTAGCTTTAGAACAACTAATTTTTCAATAGTATTTCAAATGGAACCCATTTTTATACAATTCCCACAAGTGAGTCGGATTGGATGAACCACTAATATTTTAATTAGACACATAGGTAAATGTATTAAGAACGTGATGATAAATTTCAATTCATAAAACTACTTTCGTAGGGTGTAAAAAATTCCTTCATCTTGGTTTCAGACGATGAACAATATGTGACTGTGATTGGCGATATCAAATCATACTCATGAGTTGTTTACTTTCACTCAGTTTGCAATAGTTATCATCATTATCAAAATCAACATAGGATCAGGCATTACTGAGTACCGATCCAACTTGCCACACCTCATATCAACACATCATATAACAAGGCGATAGAACAGAAGATGAAGAAAGAAAGAAAAAATCGGTCAAAAGAAGTAGGAAGTAGTAAAAGAAAGGAAGGAGGAATAAGATGATGTGATTAGGTATAGCAGTTAAGCTGAGGATAATGTGTGTATACATTGCCCCACTGACGTTGGTTATGAGCCAAATTACCTAGAGTCAGTCTTCAAACATTGGTTTCTCGTGTCCCGCGGACCCCGACCGACTAGTCTGCAACTCCCTACATAACTCAAACAAACAGTCGAAGATTTCACGCATCGATGCCTTGCTAAAGCATGGTCTGGTCGAGAGCCAAGAGTCTTTTTCCAGACTGAACCTACTTCCACCAACATTGTGTGACATGGAAGACGATGGTTAGGAATATGTGATACATATCCTAGCCATCTCAATCGATGAAGGTTCACAACCGCATCAACGTACTTACTTGCGATGCTTAGCAAACCATGTTTGTTCCCCGTTCCTATAGGTTATCTCACCGGAGCAGGAAATGCATTCAGAGTATCAGTTAAAGCAGGTGTTTGTTAGTGAATCAAAAGAAGTAAATAAGGAATAAAACCATACAAAGAAAATACTACTGCTCAGCAATTATTCGTATGCATGGATAAGAACTGAAGTAATAATAGTATTATGAGTAGTCACAGCCTCAACAAAAATAGAAGGGAATCCATAGCTTCTATTGTATTACCGTATAAGGAACGAACATCACAAATTAAAGTGACTTCCAAACTTACACGTGAAGATAAACTTTGTTGAGCTAAGGATGCTACTGATCCAGTTAGACGAAATAGCTTGAAATCAGTTACATAATGGTAGGATAGGAATCATTTAGCTAAATCTAAGATTCTGGACCCAACTTAGATCAGTGATTTAGAAGAGAACTCTATATTGCAATAGATGTTCTGCAACACATACAGTTTGGTAGTATCAAGCAACTATACTTAAGTTCAATATAGTTAAGTATAACGAATGATTGATTACTGAATCTTTGTTCATCAGATCACCACTTAGCACATATATTAGGTAGGATATAACACCTATACTGAACATGCGGAAAATTGTATTCCCACTTGAAGCAAAGAATATACGACAATAGGACTATAAAAATCGGTCGTCAAGAGTTGTGTGATTATCTTGATATGATTATGAGGAATAATTGTGTTATCGTGTCCTCTATGAAAAGAATAAATTTAATATGGGTGTAATTAGTGTCGCACCATTGTATGCGTAACTGTGATCGCGCCTTATCATCATGGAGCTTTGAATGTGTTAATCAGGCTAATTAACCAAAGATTACTCTGTACGACTTACATATGGGTATTAGATGATTTCAAGTTATTGATAATCATCCTATTTATTTTTTACCGATATTATCCTCAGTTTCTGTACAGTTCCAAAGTAACATACTATGTAACCATTCTGCAAAATCAACTGTACTACGTATTGAGTGATGATTTCACCACACTCAAGCGATGCTACAAAGAATTCGATACTTCGAAACCTGTAAACTCTTCATATCTACTTTCAACTCCATTGTCTCAATCTTATAGCAGGACAGGACTGTCTACGGAACAGTATACTCATCTTTTAATTAGGTAGTTTGATATCTTACCGGCGTGAAAAACGGGGCTATTTGGCGATTGTCAAACAGCCATTCTATATCCAGGCTGAAGTTCCGTCAGTAACCAACCTATTCTAGCTAACTTAACCCCCCCCCCCCCAAGTGAAGTGTTTTACGCACTCAGCCATTTCTCTCTCTCTCTCTCTCCCTCCTTAAACTAGAACTCAATCCATACCAGCCCAGAAGTATCATCTTGCATTTGATAGGTAACAAAAACACGTGCCAAATGTACTCAGATGTCTGCTCAAAATGTTCAGAAAACTCTTTTGTCGTAAAATATCATCATGCAGCTAATTTTACTTGATGAAGCAATAAAAAGTGTAGTCAAACCTCCTCTCTTCTCTAAATTCTTCAAAGCTTTTAAAGTTAAATATTGTTGTGATAGTGAGATTCAAAGACGAAATCAACAGGAATCACGAATTGCAAAGTTATGATATGCTAGTCTCTAAATAACTTCATAGCTCCAATATTCGTCTAAGGTATTGTGATTATGAAAAGGTTAATCATCCATTATGAAACTTATCTATGAGCATGTATAATATGTTTATATTATTACTGCAATATTTAAACCTTAGCTTCGCGCCCCTTTTGCGTCATGCTATGTTACTTATTTTTACCGCAGTTTAGGATACTAAACGCTGATTGGTCAATTTTACACTTTTAATATGCTATTTTGTTTTCTCTGGCCAAGGTTATCTAAGGATATATAAACGACTGAGTTTTCGGTTGGAGTCAATAAACTTCTGATGTCAGTCGAATATCGAATTGAGAAGTCATTGTTCTATCGTTAATCGTATGGTCTCAAAGCATTGTATTGTTATCTAAAGCGTGAATCATAACATCATGAGTAAAATATTGTCTGGGTTCCTAGTAGCACGTCGCATCCCACTCTGTTCTCTGCAGTCTTTTTAACCTGTCTCCATGACTGCCCACAAGCTTTCATTTCTTCCTCACATGATCTCCTCTTTGTCACCGTCGGACGCCCACCCCATAGTTTCCTCTTTGGATTCCACTCGAAGGCCTGGCCTGGTGAGTGATGTACCCAAAGGTCTTCTCAGTATATGTCCAATCCAATCCATCTCCACTTTCTTCTGCATATTTATTGGGAAATAACTTTCACTTACTATCTACATTAAAAACTTGTTCTAGATGGTGACATAAGGAAGAACTAAGTGTTCATAGGAATTTAGTTTTGTATGATGGTGAAACCAGTGCATTTTCCGTTAATTTTTTAGCTAAACAGTTGCACCAGTGATCTTGTAGGTGTTAAGGTATTCTGTAGCATGTTACACGCATGTAATTTCTCTATACCCTTTTCTCATGTCAAACGCTTTGTACTAGATATCGTGAATGCTTTATAATCGATCGTTATAGCGTTGGTAACTTTTGATTGTTTTGTCTTGCATTGCTTAAAGAATCTGAAATGATGAGCAACTCAACTGAGTATTTACATCGTAAAAATAATGCAAGTCACTAGCCACTTTCATTTGTGGCTACGGAGTTGGCTTTCAATTGAACGGCACTCTACCTACCGAGGTTTGGGCAACCAGGTAATAGTATCATTAACCCTTAAACAATAAGCATGGCTCATTATCTTCTGCACGAATGCGTACAAGGTTGCTGAGTACATTTGACTTCCACACTTCTGCACTACGTTGTGAACTACTGCTGTTATAAAGGCTATTGGTTACTGCATTATTATTACAATTGTTATTATTAATGTAGTGACATTCTTACTCGTCACTCACTGACTGAGAATAGGACACTGTCATAGCAATAAACCACTGACGTTTGAGAAAATATCCTGAGGTACTCCTATGCATGTTGCTGGTTATATTGGTCTGAGTATTTGTGATACTATTTCTTCCAAAAACGTGAACATTTATTTTCAGCATGTCATTGAACAGACTTAATCAACCTTACGTCAGTCCCTTTACACTAAAAAGATATGCATCTTTGCTGGATAGTTGCATGTATTCAGAGTTGTATTGTTGTAATCTTGACATAATAGAGATATGACCGAGTCTCTAACGATGAGTCTAGTTCTCGAACCATAGTCTACCTACTTTTCTCTGAGTTGAGTTGTTTACTCATGGAACTTTCATCGTTTTTCTAGTTGACATCTTCATATTGAAGTTAGTGCTGAAAATGTCGTCTAGAAAGATGATGGAAGCTCCACAAGTATACAACTCAGTTCAGAGAACACAATAAAACCAAGACCATCCACCTGAGGTACAAATATTCCCTACCTACTTTTGCCTGCTTAACTGGATAGTATTATAAACCGTCATGTACTAAGCTAGACTCATAGCTTAGTATGAATATCTATAATGGGTTCAGTAGCTTTGTTGTAATCAGCAGTAGAATTACAGGCTATTGTTTGATTTAGTTACTTTAATTTAAGTAGCTAAGTAATTTTTTCATCTTCACTTTATAGGTTTAATATGAATTACAGTACATGAGGCTACATTTAGTTACTAACTTATTCTTATTCTTATTCTCTTTTGTTTCTCTACACACTAATTCATTTGATACTTTCCTATAATATTGTTTTCAGGTATCCTAATAATCTGTCAAGTTATACTCCGTCGAATGATCAAATAAGTTATCGTTCTAAAACTTACAGATCTGAAGAAGAGTTTGAAAGTCATGGTCCAGTAGATACTTCACTGGTTAGTTCAGGTACTGATGATACCTATGATGATGTTGCTGTTGGAAGTTTACCCTTGATAGACTCTGAGCCTATGTCTCATTCTATGTTAACTCCTAGCTCTTCACGAAATCCATTCAAGGTAAGCGGTATCAAACTATTTTGTTAACTGATGTTATAATTTGTCGTTCATGTTTGATTGAGAAACAGAATCCTTCACTAGAAGATGAGTACATTCAACTGACTATATCTAGATTCTATTACCAAAATACTCCATGATTATCATTGTAGTATTTACTTTTCAAAAACAACTGCATATATGTATGTAGTGCCGTTATGACTAGTTACCGTACTACCAGTCACCACCGTAAGTAGCCCTACTATGAAGTTTAGTGACTAAAAGTAGAATTTGTAAGGTAATTTTTTAATATTTGAAAAGTTAAGTATGTCTATATTTCCTCATTGTCTGCGTTAAATAATAGCTATCTTCATTATATAAATAAATTTTTATATAATCCCAGCATGTTTAGAAAATCGAAAACAAGATTTTTCTGAACGTTTCATTGTGTATGCTACAGTTTATTTAGCAGAATATTAGGTTTTTGTTAACCCCTAAGACGAATTCAGCTGTTAGATTTTATGATAGACCAAAAATGCATAAGTGTAAAACTTGGTCACTGTGGTAGATAATAGTATAGTAATTGCTAAATCTGACAAAGGTAACTCAACAGTAGTTATGGACAAATCGGATTATCTTAAAAAAATGGATGAACATATCCAAACAGGGCCATATGAAGAGATTAAGAAACCTATAGATACTGTCATGAATAAAATTAAGAAATCTACAACAGATCTGATACGCCGACTGAAGCCATCTCTAGGTAAGTCCGAATGGTTTACTTTAATGCCAAAAACTAATAATCCTAGCAGAATTTACGGTACTATTAAGGTTCATAAAGCAGGTTATCCCATTAGGCCGATAGTTGACTTCCGGAACACACCAACATATGAGATATCAAAGTATTTAGCATCAGTATTACGTCCTGTTAGAGACCGTTCCAACTCTAGACTAGTAAATTCTTACGAGTTGAAACAAAAACTTAATGACCTGCACATAGAAGAGGATGAAAAAATGGTTAGTTTTGACGTAACAAGTCTTTATACTAAAATACCAATCAATATGGCACTGGAGGCAGTCAGAAATCAACTAGATACTGACTCACAACTTACTCAAAGAACCAAGGCATCGGTTGGTGAAATCATGTTAGGAGTGCAGTTATGCTTAACCTCGACAGTCTTCAAGTTTCAGGGAAAGATTTATAGACAAACAGAAGGAGTAGCAATGGGATCACCAATATCCCCTATAGTAGCAGATATATTTATGGATAGTTGGGAAGATATGGCTTTACGAACATATAATCCGACACCTAAGATATGGTGGCGATATGTAGATGACACATTTACAGTGTTGAAATCGGAACATATCGACAGTTTCTTGACACACATAAACTCAGTAGTTAACGCAATCCAATTCACTTACGAAGTAGAAAATGAACAAGGAGAATTACCTATGTTGGATTGCAGAATAAAACGAAGGATAGATGGTGGTTTAGATACTACCGTCTACAGAAAACCAACACATTCTAACAGGTATCTAGACTTCAAGTCATCTCATCCAGTGTCAGTTAAAGCGGGTTTAGTCAAATGTCTAAATAACAGAGCTGAGAAACTCACTAGTCATTGTAAGGACTTAAATAAGGAATTGAAACACATAAAAGAAGCGTTAATAATTAATAATTATCCCCATCATTTTATTAAGAAATTCACATAACACATAAGAAGCAAAATAATAACACTAATACAAATACAAATAATAGTGACAACATAAGTAGAAAGGAAATCAACACCTCTATTGTGATACCATACAAGGAAGGAACATCAGAAACCATACGTAGGATTCTCAACAAGGTTGGAATTAGGGTGGCATTTAAACCAACAAACTCACTTAGAGGTAAGCTTTGTCGGCTAAAAGATCCGATAGAACCAATTAAGCAAAATAATATAATCTACCAAATTCCATGTAATGACTGTGAAGTCAAATACATAGGTCAAACTAGCCGGTCGGGGTCAGTTAGATTAACAGAACATAGGAATTTAGCTAAACATAGAACGACAGACCCCAATAAGATCAATAACCTAGAAAAACACTCAGCCATTGCATTACATTCATTAACACACAACCACACAATAGGATGGGACAAAACCACTGTACTTAAGTCTAATATAGCTAGGTGGAGAGAGAGATTAATTACTGAATCTTTGTTCATCGAATCCACACCCAACACATGTAATAGGAATGACGCAACACCTATACCAGAGATATGGAAAACTTTACTACCAATCAAAAAACAAAGAGAGATCAGGTGACAGGACTATAAAATCAGATATCGAAAGAAGTGTGATTACATTGATATGATTATGAGCAATATAATTTATGCTGGAAATGTAATCAATTAAATAATACTGTATCACTGTGCGCTATATATCAGATAAACAAATCTAATATGGAATTACAAAAATACATAAACTGGACATCCCTCTTAGACTAGTTGTGGACTTCACTAATTCAGCAACTTATCGCCTATCAAAATTATTGAAACCATTGCAACATGAGATTACTTCAAACATTAAAAACTCAGAAGAATTCAAGAATAAAGTAATGGTTATTACGATAAGAGAAGAAGAAATTATGTCAAGTCTTGACATAATTTCTCTTTATACCAGTGTTCCTATACTTGATGAACTTAATATTGTAAAAACTTTACGTGATAACGATCAAATAATACTAAGTGGATGTCCTTTATCATCAGGAGACATTATAAAATGCTTAAGATTATGTTTTTAGAGTCAACATATTTTACGTTTAGGGACAAGTTATACCGTCAAACTAATGGCGTTTCAATGGGCTCACCAGTATCCTCGATTGTAGCCCGTTTATATATGAAAGTATTCAAAGGAAGAGCTTTAAATAGTTTCATTGTCAACCCAAGCTATGATATATGATATATGAGCCACACGAATTCAACCAAGTGGTCTCAGTAGTCTTGTCATGATTTCTGATATATTCTTTATGTATAGTAGGATGATGTGTTTGTTGATTTCTGTCGATGACTTTGTAGTTGATGACGTAGGGGATAGACATCTAATAAAGTCTTGTGGGTAGCCGTTCTTTTTTAGGATAGACATCAAGTAATTTTCTTCGTTTCTCCGTGAAGTTGTACTGTAGTGTGTTCTCGCGCTTGTGAATAGAGTCTGCACGCAACTTATCGTGTGGGTTGTTGCTACTGTAGTTTGAGAAATTACGACAAGATTACTGAGACCACTTAGTGGAGTTAGTGTGGCTCATAAAACAACAAATTCCTTGCAAACACTATTAAACAGACCAAAGGATGCTACAACCAAAGAAGACAAGCTGAATATCATTTACAAAACCAACTGCAATAACTGTAGTCAACACTACATTGGACAAAATGGTCGCCCTCTTCGCCTTCTCCTACATGTACACCAATTGGCTATTAAACGTCACACACGACATTTCATCACTCATTTCAATGCACATGGATAACAACTCTGTACATGAACTCCATTTTGATAATGTAGGAATTTTGGAAACCCAAAGAATACCAGGGAATTCCTAGAAGCATGGCATTCAGGTCAGTCAGTCAACAATCAACAGATGTATAAACATAGACCCAATCTATCAACCAATGAAAAAAATGATAAACGGCAGAAAGATCAGAGGTGAAGCAGAAGAACATCCAACAAGAAAATCTATACAGTCAGTCAATGAAACAACAATCCAAGGAAACAACCAGTCACAGACCACATCGTCAGAGCAAACTACTAAATCATTCACTGACAGATATTGACAGGTGACTTCATACTGAAGTTAGTGCTGATGATGTCGCTGTCTAGAAAGACGATGAAAGCCTCACGATTAAACAATCCATCTCAGAGAACTCAATATACCTTATCTCAGAAACCTTCTTGTTGAAAGTCATTTAAAAAGTGAAAAGAAACCTCTCAAAGCCTGTGTGTCTTCGTATTCTCTGCATCACCAAAGTTCTTGCCATCCAATTAGAAAAGCCTGAACTGTGTACACAAAAGAAGATAGTTCAACCCCTTCTCCTTCCATGGTCTTAGTTTACAGTCTCCTCCTCTCCTTCCCCTCCCCCTTTTTCTTTTCATCTTTCTGTTCCCACACCATTCACTTCTTAAGTAATTTGCTACTCATTCTTGTTGTCATGTTCTGTCTGATCACAATTCAGTTTCCAAACCTTTGTTGGTTCTAATGGCAACTCATTTATTACCATGCTTGATAAACTGTTCTTAACTATCAAATGCTTACACTAGAAAAAAAAGTATAAATTTGTGATTGTACAGGTTTGAAAATGAAATCTCTGAGAAAAGAGACTCATCGCTGAAATAAACTTGTTCTTCCTTCAAATCATTATGGGTCTATTTTTAATTATGCTCTCTGAAATAGTGTATTAGCATTGGCTAACCACCTTTTAATGGTCATCCAGTAAATACAGACAGCTACTAGTTTGATTCGCTCTATTTATGCTAGATTGCATTATGCACAGTTGTACGATATTCTAACTGACTGATACACAAACGTCTGTAGTCAAAGTTATCAGACAAAAATACTGTAGCCATGACAAAAGAGCCTCTCATCTGTTCAGTAGGTAGGTTTCTTTGTATATAAGTATATATTCCGAGTACTTTATAATACCGTTTTATTTTTATTTTATTTTTCTTGGTATTGGCATTTTAAAGTCTTCTTCAAAAGAATCTGCACCTCGACCAAGTGCTCATGGAACACAGGTTTTAGACGTATGGACACCTAAACTGAGTGATACTAATGCAAAAATCACTCAGAAGTCTAGTATCAACAAACCGAAACAGAATAGGAAACGCACAGCAACTGTAAGTTTTGCTGATGAAAACACTTTTCTCTAAAGTGTGTATTTACTAACTTAACATTCTCTTAGGACTGTATACAAGTTTATACTTCATGCTGAATTTGAAAATTCAATGTTCAATATGTTCATTTGGTCCACTGGTTCAATGGATTTCAGTTAACAGCGTGTACTGATATTGATTAGTGATCGTTAAAAAGTAAAAGGAATATTTCACAAGTATTCTCCATAGCTGAGCTTAATAAACACTCTAGATACCTAAGTTTTCATGTCAAAATTAAATACTGAAATTCATAATCTGCATATTGAAGAAGGAGTCATGCACACTGACACACTTAGAGGGGGAGGGGGTATGTAAAATTGGAGAGGATGTTTGGAATCTACTGGTGATCAAGTAAAGTAAGTTATGAGTGAATTTACTGTGACTAGAACAGTTGATATTCGAAATTTATTGACAACAATATCATGGGGGGAAATAATTGTGAGAGGTAGGAATATTTTGAAGGAAAACTGTTCACTGTGCACAGCACCTGGCTACAAAATTTGCTGATATTGACTGGAAATATATTGCCGCTGTTGTGTAGCACTGTGATCGAGTTACAGGTGCACATGAACTGTTGCCCACTAGTCTAGTAACTCAACTTTCAACTAGATTAGTTACAGGTCCACCTACCGAAGTCTGCCTTCATACAGTTGGTGTATCTCATTGCCTACTGCACAAGGATATACACAGAGTTGCTCAGTACATTTTAACTTTATATTTAAGTTTATTCAATATAGTATACAACGATATAGTATTATTTACTTAATAATAGAAATGATTAGTCACACACAACAAACATTTAAAAGTTTTTACTACCACTGAAAATAAAACAATGAGAAGCTGTTGGATAACCTCGATAGGAGTATAAACAGCATTCCGTGCTCAAAACTTCCTCCAGTAAATAATACTGCCTCATTGTGTGCTATATGATGTGGACTAGTCTCTTATATCCATCCATGCAAATCAACATCTGACGTGGCTGTCCGAGTTGCCGCAACTCATATCAGTACATCAAGTAAAAAGGCAGTGAGGTGCAAGATGAAGAACAGAAAATTCAGTCAAAAGAAATATAAAGTAGTAAAAGAGAGAAATAAAGAATGAGAAAATGGTGAGATTTGGCATGGCGTTAAGACGAGGGTAATGTGTGTATACATCTGGGCCACTGATATCGGTTCTCAGCCATATCACCTACAGTCAGTCTCCAACTACTGGTTCCTCTTGTCCCGCGGACCCCGCATGGCTCAAATCAACAGTAAAACACTTCATACATTGGTGTCATGTTTTAGTCTGGCCACCTAGGGCCTTTTTCCAGCCTGGACCTACTTCAGCCAACATTATGTGACGAAGCAGACGGCGACTAGGCATATGTAACACGTGTCGGAGCAAACCACCTCAGTCGATGAAGGTTCATAACCATGTCATCTGACTTACCTCTTCTCCCTAAAACTCTACCCCTGACTTCTGCGTCACTCACGTGGTGACACCACGGAATGCAACCTATACTACGAAGACAACGTCGGTCATACACCTGAAGCCTTCTCATGTCTTCCACCTTCAATGGCCATGTTTCATAGCTATGCAGTAGAACAGATTGGACTGCTGTGTAGTGCACGCCACGCTTAATGGACATTTGGATATGCCGGTGGCGTAAGTTGACGAAAGCCAATCTAGCGTTTTGTATTCGTGCAGAGATCTCACCGGTCACTGAGCCACTAGGGCTGATCTCACTTCCTAGGTTAAATGAAGTGGTCAATGCACTCAACTACTACACTCTATTGTTAACCGCTGTGGGTCACCTTTGAAGACTAATCCTGGAGCAATGAATTCCATTTAGGTGGTGAGAAACGCATCCCAAACATTCTTAAAGTGTCCAGAAGACTCTGCATCTTGTCAGTGTCTTCACTTAACAGGACTATATCATCTGCATATTCTAGGTCTAACGAGAATTCTCCCGCGATTATGTCTTATGCCGTATGTACAACATTATTACTAACAAATAGAATGTTATATTTTGCTGTCACCATCAGATGTCTAATCCCTAAAAAACTAACTTATGTATATATTTTCACTGTAAAATTTAAACCTTATTTTCGCTCCTTTTTTACTCCATGCAGTGTAATTTATTCTTACCGTGGTTTAAGATACTGAACGCTGATTGGTCCATTTTACATTTTTAAGATGCTATTTTGTTTCTACTGGTGAAGCCCTTTATATAAGCATGTAAACGATAAAACTTTCAGCTATTATCGCACTTTTCGGTTGAAGTATACATTCAATGCAATCATCTTCTTTTTATGGTATCAGCTGAAGATCGTGTTGAGAAGTCGTTAACCATATCATGTCAGAGTGTTATATCGTTTTTATATATACCACAGTACAAAATAATATTTACTTCGATTTGTAGTTTAGAACGTTAATTTATCTTAGATGTGATAAAAACAGTCAGAGTGTAGGATGAACATTGCAGTTATGAATTGAAGTGTCACAACTGTGATGAAATTGGATTCCAACTACCTTCCATATAAAGGTGTACATAGTAAAAATTATTTTCTTTAAATTGCATTATACTTGTCTTATTATTATTACTACTATTCATATGTTTGATGTCGCACAAACTCGAAAATCTACAGGCAAAAACTAACAAGTTGACAGAAGAGATGAGACAGCGAAAACGGGACTTCAGCTGAATGTAGAGAAGACGGAGGTGATGAAGATACCCAACCAACTCCATCACCAACAACAGAAAGCTCCAATCACCATGAACGGGAGAAACCTGAAAAAAGTAGTCTCTTCCACGTAACTAGGCACCGTCGTTTCAATTACAGGCGGCACGGACGACGATATCAAAACCAGGACCGTAAAAGTTAGGCAGGCATTCATGAATCTGAAATCAGTGTAGAGATCTACTGCACTCAGCATTTCAGACAAACTACAGATATTCATCAACAGCTGCCGCCTACGCTCACTCGATACTGACACTGGAGATCAGAGAGATGGCCAGAATAATAAGAACAAGCAACAGCTTGCTTGCTGGCTGGTAACGAACCAACGAGGAAGCTACCACTCAACAAATATGTAGTAGAAGGAAGTTGAGATGGATGGGATTGGGCATGCAGTGAGAGGACCGAGTGGGGACATCACTCGGTGGACTAGGCACTGTAGTGGAAGTCTGATGGGAAACGGGGAGTTGGGTGTCCGAGATGAGTGTGAGACTGTGGAGATTGTGTGAGTGGGAAATGAGAGGTAGTGGGTATTGTTGGAGCGAGGTTGAAGAGATTGTAGAGAAGAGAATGGAATGGAGACGTGCTATTGAAGCTGTATGTTCCAGTCGGAACCCAAGAGACAAATGATAACAAAATAATAATCAATACATTCGCGCAGGAGTGTATTACACAATCTTGACTACATTAAACTTTCTATAACCGTACACAACTGAATGATGGATATACAATGAGCAATTTTATTATGTAATGGAAGGTTCTTTGGATAATGTACAGGATATAATAGGAATTACCTGTTGAATTATATTCTATGTGAATAAATACATTATCATTGTCAATTAATTCATTGAAATTATTTCACTTTTCATCATTTTAGACATCTCAACGTCTTAAGTTATCTAAAAGTAAATCAATTGATGTGACTGAGTAAGTTGTTTGAAAGTTATCATATCAATAAAAGAAGTGTTCTTATATTTATTTGTAAATTTTACTTGTTATTCCTTTTTTTGTTTAAAAAAAAAATTAAAATATATTTCTATAGGAATAATCAAGAGTTTACTGATTGGTTTGAAGAGAATCGAGAAACATTAGAAGAAAGTTATCCAGAAGTATCAGTTGAAGAACTTGTTCAAATCGCTCGATCTGAGTTTGTAAGTTTTATCTAAGCATTTATCATTGATTGCTACTTTCTTTGGCTAATTTTTTTCTAGTTCCATATTAGATTTGTTTATTTGATATAAAGGGCACAGTGATACAGTATTATTTACTTGATTACGTTTCCAGCACAAGTTATCATTACTCATAATCATATCAATGTAATCACACTTCTTTCGACATCTGATTTTATAGTCCTGTCACCTGATCTCTCTTTGTTCTTTGATTGGCAGTAAAGTTTTCCATATCTCTGGTATAGGTGTTACGTCATTCCTATTACATGTGTTGGGTGTGGATTCGATGAACAAAGATTCAGTAATTAATCTCTCTCTCTCCACCTAGCTATATTAGACTTAAGTACAGTGGTTTTGTCCCACCCTGTTGTGTGGTTGTGTGTTAAGGAATGAATGTAATGCAATGGCCGAGTGTTTTTCTAGATTATTGATCTTATTGGGGTCTGTCGTTCTATGTTTAGCTAAATTCCTATGTTCTGCTAATCTAACTGACCTCGACCGGCTAGTTTCACCTATACATTTGACCTCACAGTCATTACATGGAATTTGGTAGATTATATTATTTTGCTTAATTGGTTCTATTGGATCTTTTAGCCGACAAAGCTTACCTCTAAGTGAGTTTGTTGGTTTAAATGCCACCCTAATTCCAACCTTGTTGAGAATCCCACGTATGGTTTTTGATGTTCCTTCCTTGTATGGTATCACAATGGAGGTGTTGATTTCCTTTCTAATACACTAATACAAATACAAATAATAGCGACAACACAAGTAGAAAGGAAATCAACACCTCCATTGTGATACCATACAAGGAAGGAACATCAAAAATCATACGTGAGATTCTCAACAAGGTTGGAATTAGGGTGGCATTTAAACCAACAAACTGACTTAGAGGTAAGCTATGTCAGCTAAAAGATCCGATAGAACCAACTAGGCAAAATAATATAATCTACCAAATTCCATGAAATGACTGTGAGGTCAAATACATAGGTGAAACTAGCCGGTTGGGGTCAGTTAGATTAACAGAACATAGGAATTTAGCTAAACATAGAACGACAGACCCCAATAAGATCAATAATCTAGGAAAACACTCGGCCATTACATTACATTCATTAGCACACAACCGCACAATAGGGTGGGACAAAACCACTGTACTTAAGTCTAATATAGCTAGGTGGAGAGAGAGATTAATTACTGAATCTTTGTTCATCGAATCCACACCCAACACATGTAATAGGAATGACGTAACACCTATACCAGAGATATGGAAAACTTTACTGCCAATCAAAAAACAAAGAAAAATCAGGTAATAGGATCATAAAATCAGATATCGAAAGAAGTGTGATTACATTGATGTGATGATTATGAGCAATGATAATTTATGCTGGAAATGTAATCAATTAAATAATACTGTATCACTGTGCGCTATATATCAGATAAACAAATCTAATATGGAACTACATTCTACCACAGTGCCCAAGTTTTTCACTTATATTAATTTTTTTCTAATTGATAGAGAGACAGATATACAAGTTTATCACTATTTTGTTTCACATATCTATTCTATATGCATAATAAATTGAGAAATTATGAGTGTATATAATACTGAGACGAAATGTATACTGGAACTGTAATACACACATGTAAGCGTTGCTGATCCACTAATTACCAAGTTTAAGGTTGTCTTGTAATGATTACCAAGCAACGTTACATTTATTGCCAGGATATCAAGTTGATTAGTTTTGATAAAAACTGCTAAACTTGGTTCATAGGTTATATTGAGTATAAATGATTAGCTTGTGATGATAATTATTTGTTAGCTGTCACAATGATTGATATCCTAAGCAAGTTGGGTAATAAATTGTCACTTAAGAAAGTATAGAATGCTAATTGATTGATAATGAAATGAAAATTTGGACCATGGTCTGGTTTGAATCAGCGACCACGGGATTTCCGGCCTCGAGCTATGAGGTTCGACTAATGAGCAAATTTTTATTTCACTTCAATCATCAAGAGTTTCGTCCGATTACCATGTGAATTCATTACTATCACTTGATTATATTCACACTGGCTAGGACTTCTCGTCTAAATCTAAGTGAATTAGAGGCAGGGGGGGGGGGGGGGAAGGGAGTATCATATCGGTTATCATTATGACTATCTGAGATAGCCGTGGTTTGGCAAACTAGTATATTGATACTAGGCGATGATTGAAAGTGAAAGGAAAATTTATACATCGGCCAGATTCGAACCAGTGATCATATTTTAAGAAAATGTAGATTATCGTGTCATTTTTATTTAAGCGGGAAAATTTTCACTGCTAAAATTTTATTTCATTTATTGTAACTGTATGATAACTTCATTCTATTTATCTACTTACATCGATATACATATATATATACATATATATATATCTAATTTTAAGTATTCTACAAAAAATCCGAAAAATGATGTTGCTAACGGAATAAATGAAGATGAATATGATTCTAAAGAGAATTTACAACAAAAGTATTGTAATAAGCGCCGTTTAAGTCAAAATGATGATATGAATCCTAGTATATCAAAGAAAAAATTATCTGAATTTTCAGAGAAAGCATCCAAAAATTGTTATCATTTACTTTCCCTGAGAATTCATTAAATTGATGAAGAGAATAATTATTGTCATTATCATCATTGTATCCTATTTGTTTATAAACGGTGTTGGAAAGGATTTATAATCATCTCAAGAATATACACAAAACTAATTAATATACAATGTAATGTTGTACTATGCCTTATATATTATAGAGTGATATTTGTATAAAAATTCTTATCAGTAAATGTTGAGATTACTTATAATAAGTGGTTTTATTATAACAATATACTGTCTTTAACGTACCTTCTTTTAATTCTTTATGGTTTTCAGTAAGTTTGGTAACTGGATATCCTTTAAAGATGTCAGCATACCCTATTTGTCTAGATGATTACAGCTTTAATATTTGATGTAATTAGTATTGGGGGAAAAAAAATCTTTATATGCTTCTTATTACTACTTTTACAAAGTGGAGGTGTTCATTTATAGAAGATGGATTTTCGGCTTATTTTAACTTGCCCACTAAGATCAAAGTTTAATTAATAAAAGGAGTCTTGCGTGAAGCATTATCCTCTTGAATAACACCATTCAAATAAATGAACTATACACAGCTGACTGATTACTTTTGGCTTAATAGCAGCGATTGCTTTACGTATCTGGTCTCTTGCAGTACAGTGGTCATGAAGTAATCCACTGTTTTTTTAGCACGTTACTTACTTACTTACTTACTTACTTACTTACTTACTTACTTACTTACTTACTTACTTACTTACTTACTTACTTACTTACTTACTTACTTTTAGGCAAGGACTTGCAATGCTTTATTTTAACTGTTCAACACTTTTAAGGACTGTGTTGAACACCACAAAATAAAAATTGAAGACGTAGAACTTAATTTGTAAACTTCATTTCTCTTTATCACTATTTATTGATATACTTGTTATTCTCCGTTGTTTTGTTAGATCGAATTGTTTAACCTCTATTGGTATATGGGCTCCTAAGTGGATGCCTCGATATTGCCTGAATGTTAATTATAATAATTTGGTTGGAATTTTTCACTTCTACACAGGTCAATCAACAATAAGAAGTCAGTTTATTTTGGTAGAAATTAAGTCTATGAATCAGTGAATCTGAGTATTAATTCGATACTATGAATGGTCAAAGATAATCAAAGTAGTTTAAAAACAGAATGAAGTTGTTTTTTTATTATATGATTTGAGTAATGTTCAAAAGTTACCGCAAATGGATTACAAAATGACTGAAAGTAATTAGATTTCAGTGTAGTAACTAACTATAGTGAATGGGATAAGGAATTGTAAAGGAACACAATACTGACTGTTCACTCAGCTGTATTAATATCAGAAAACAATAACTAATCCGTAACTCCATGGATGACTTTAAAAAAAATTGCATCATACATAAACAGTTTTCACCAACAAAATGTTCCCTTGATGAAAGATAAGATTATTCCCTGAAGTAATAAATTGTTCAATAACATTTAGCATTATATGTTTCTCTAGATAGTTACACGTTTAATATTTGATGTAATTAGTATTGGAACAAAATCTTTACATGCTTCTTACTACTATTATTAGAAAGTGGAGGTGTTCATCTAGAAGATGGATTTTCGGTTAATGTATGATATCATATTCCTTGGTGAAACTGTTAACAAATAAAAACTTCAGCTGAAGACTTAGAGATATTGATAAATCGAGTATACTTCACTGCATATTAGCAAACAGATAATATCAACGTTGAACCTCGCACTTAAGTGTATCGGTTCAACTTGCCATACAATCACACTAGTATACAATGAATAAGTTATGAGAAAAGGATTGATATCAAAGTAGACAAAGGTTGTATGTGAGATAAAAGAATTTAGAAATGAAGTTTAGTCAAAATATTCAAGCTATAGAAGATAGATATCAAAGAGTGAATACATCTGCGCCACTGTTACCGATTTTCAATTATGTCATCAAGGGTCTTCATTAATCTGATACCCAAAGAAACAGTCTATACCTTCCTACACAACTTAAACCAACTGTCAGAGAATTAATAGACTCGAATTGTAGGATAGCACAACATCTGTATTCTTTTTTTCTAAAACATATGCAAACATATTTTAGTTTTTTTTTCTTTTCTTGCAGTAGCCGAGTTTTTTCCGGATTATTGATCTTATTCGGGTTTGTTATTTTGTATTTAGTTGAATTCCTACGTTCCGCTAATCTAACTGACTCTGAATGGCTAGTTTGGCCACCTATGTATTTGATCTCACAGTCATTGTATGAAATGTGGCAAATAAGATTATTTTGCCAAGTTGGATCTTTAAGCCAGAATAGCTTATCTCTGAGTGAGTTAGTAGTTTTAAAGGGATATCAAAAACTTAACTAGGATTCTCAACAAGTTTGAATTTAGGGTGGCATTTAAACCTGCAGAGTTTTATCGGCTTAAAGATCCGATAGATCCCACTAGGGAAAATAATCTAATCTACCAAATCCCATGCAATGACTGTGAGGTCAAGTATATACGTCAAACTAGCCGGTCAGGGTCAGTTAGAACAGCGAAACTTAGAACCTCAATTAAATATCGAATGACACACCCCAATGCATGCACTAACACAAAACTGCACAATAGCGCGGGTTGGATAAAACTACTGTACTTAGGTCGAATATAATCAGGTGGAGAGAGAGAGATTGATCACTGAATCTTTGTTCATTGAATCTACACCCAACATATGTAGTAGGAATGATGCAACACCAATTTCACTATCAGTAAAAACAAAGAATATGAGTGATTATTATTATTATTTTACCCTTGGGTTCCGAGTGGAGTATAGATCTTCAGTAGCATGCCTCCGTTCCACTCTCTTCTCTGCCATCTTTTCAACCTCGCTCCACGACTGCCCACAAGCTCTCATTTCTTCCTCACTCCATGTCACCTTCAGCTGGGACGCCCAACTCGTCGTTTCCCCTTTGGATTCAACTCGAGGGCCAAGTCTGACACGTGATGTCTCCGAATGGTCTTCTCAGTGTATGTCCATTCCAATCCATCTCCATTATCTTCTGCATATTTGTTGAGTGTTAGCTTCTTCGTTCGTTCTTTACCAGGTCAAAGTTCCTTGTTGCTTATTCTTATTATTCTGGCCATCTCTCTGATCTTCAGTGTCAGTATCGAGTGAGCGTAGACGGCAGCTGTTGATGAATGTCTATAGTTTGTTGGAAATATGAGTGATAGAACCATAAAAATCAGATGTCGAAAGCCGTGTAATTACACCTTGATAGGCTTATGAGCAGTAATAATTTATGCTCTGAATATCATTGAGTAAATAATATTGTATCCCTGTGCGCTTCATATCAAACTGACAAATCTAATATGGAATTACATTCTACCACAGTGCCCAAGTTTTATATTTATGTTAATCAAACTTATGGTCTACCTGTTTTCATTACAACTCCATGTCAATAGACCATTAATTACCAGGAAATGTCAGTCAGATAATTCATTTTTATCTAAGACAAAAAAATGTATATTTAGATCAGTGTTAATCACTTCGATGATGATGAGAAACATGTTGCGTCTGAATTATTTTTGGAACAAGACATAAGCGAACAATATTCTTTTCAATTAGATCCTCTTCAGGTTTTACTCTAATACAAATAGCTTGATTATATACATATAAACCAATCATGTAGATTTTACCGTCGATCTGATAAACATTTAAAATAACGATGGAGATAATACAAATAATGATAATAAGAACCATGAAAGCAGCATGAAAATGTAGACACTCCAATAATCAAAATGGGTCAAAAGCTTGTGAAAACAAAAGTTACGTAATATTAAAGGGCGAGGTAAGTGGATAAACGAAGCCCAGACAAATACAGTAGGTATACGAAAGGGGTGAAGAATAAGAAAAGAAAATAACTGAATGATAAAGTTACTAACTAGGTATTCCCTGTCCAAGGGAGAGATAATGGATGTACAAACTTCTTCTGGATACCAAACACTAGGATTATTAGCTCGAATTCCCACAACTTCTGCTATGTGTAAAAGATGAGTTTGAATACCTTTCGAAAGATGAGATGGCATGCAGTGTATAATCGTGAAAGCATTGTTCTTACTCACCTACTGACTACAATCAACGAAATAAGAAACAACAGAACTTCTAATAGATTTTATCTGTCCCTTTCCCAACCATGAAGCTATTTATATTAGAGTAAGTGAAGCCTGAAGAGGATCTAATTGAAAACAATCTTATTCAGTTATATATATCTTGTTCTAATTTACATCACAGGAATTTTTAAAACTGACTTATTTTTAACAATGAACGTTTATTAAATGGATTCAATTGGGTATATTTGCAAATTACAAATCCTTCAATAACAGTCACTCAGTTGTACACTTTGGTTTTTCTTCTTGTTTTCCAACTGACCATGTAATTCATGGTTGATTTTGCGTATCTGCTTCATTTCTTCCCTCAGCCATTGGATTAATACTCAATGTCTTTGTTAATCTATCATAAACTGAACTACCTGTTGCAATAGATATCCATGTGATTAATATAAAGGCTGTACGACTGGCGTCAAGTATTAACCATATCTTTAGTGAATTATTCACATCACTTTGTGTATTCAGCAAGTATATAATTTCATTGTCTTCTTTATTACTAGTAGTATAAAGAATATAATCAAACCAATTCATGGAATTATTGATGGCAAAACAAAATATGTAGAAGATGATAGCTATAAGTCCATTCTGTAATAAAAGAGAAAGAATATATCGATTAATCATGAATTGAAAAGAATCGAAAATAGTCTACATAAAATACTAAGAATTTGACACATCAATGAAAGAAACCTAAAGGAAGTAACCTCATACACTAATCTGGGCCTCATCGTTTCAATTACAGGCGGCACAGACGAGGATGTCAAAACCAGGATTGGAAAAGCAAGACAAGCTTTCATCAACCTGAAACCAGTGTGGAGATCTCCCACACTCAGCATGTCGAACAAGATCTAGATTTTCGATACCAACATCAAGTCAGTGCTTCTATGCGATGGTTGAGAGACTTGGCGCGTCACGAAAGGGATTCCCATGAAACTACAGACATTGACCAACAGCTGCCGCCTACGCTCACTCGATACTGACACTGAAGATGAGAGAGATGGCCAGAATAATAAGAATAAGCAACAAGGAATTCAGTGTGGCTTGCTTGCTTGCTTGCTGGCTGGCTGGCTGTTAACGAACGAACGAGGAAGCTATTACTCAACAAATATGCAGTAGAAGGAAGTTGAGATGGATGGGATTGGGCATGCAGTGAGAGGACCGAATGGGGACATCACTCGGTGGACTAGGCACTGTAGTGGAATTCAGATGGGAAACGGGGAGTTGGGTGTCGGAGATGAGTGTGAGATTGTGTGAGTGGGAAATGAGAGGTAGTGGGTATTGTTGGGGCGAGGTTGAAGAGATTGTAGAGAAGAGAGTGGAATGGAGACGTGCTATTGAAGCTGTATGTTCCAGTCGGAACCCAAGAGAGGAATGATAACAAAATAATCGATACGTTCGCGCAGGAACTTGTTGTGCGATACTTGTTCATCAGTTCGTTCTAGTCCACAATGGGATGTAATAATCTATACTTGTCTCACAAAGATTGGCAACGGTGACTCTGAAGCCTAGTGAGTATCGCCCTGCCATCTTTAAGCGAAGACGTTTCAGTTCAGGTTTCAGTGGGAACGTCACCACTCACCGAGGGGCAAGTATATCTAGCTGACCAGTTCTAAAAAGGACAAAAACCAGTCTTGGATTCTACATCTAGCCCACATCTATCAATAATATTCATAAATTAAGTTGAAAAGCTTTTCTGTGGTTTGTTTACAGATGAAAACATAAAGTTCGTATATGGTGGATGAAGTGAATATGCCTTTAGAGCAGATATTTGAAAATTTGTCTGCTTCAGAAAAGTGAGAAGAATATTTAGTATTTGGGAAGCATATGATTATAAAATCGGTCGATGGCTCTCTGTAGTCTACTCCAAAATTGCTGGTGAACGGAAAAGCGAAAACAGTCTCACTTCCAATGAGATAAAAGCCATTGCAATGGCTATGAATAGTTTCAGGTATCAAAAGAGACAATGATTTTATGTAGATTGTGTAATAATTAGCTAGTTTGTGAGGTTGGTCCGAAGAAGATGACTGTTAGCTGAAATATCGGTGACAAAGATGGGTTTTTAGTAGATTTTGAGAAATCATGCTAGGCATACATATGTGTTCAACCTTTTTGGCTTTGAAATTTCAAGACAAAATGTACAAGGTGTAGTGATGTCATTTTCAATATCCTTCAATCGTAACAGATATATTTATGGACAGTCCAGAACAGACGGCACTACGAAGATTCCAGTCTATCCTAAACGTATGGTAGCGATATATAGATGACACATTTACTGTGTCGAAATGAGAACATATCCAGAATTTCTTTCGCATACATTAACTCCATAGTAGATCCAATCCAATTCACTTATGAATTAGAAAATGAAGAAAGAGAATTGCCTATATTGGATTGCAAAAATCAAGAGGGGAGGAGATGAAAGTTTAGATACCAGTTTTTATAAGGAAGCAACACATTCGAATAGATGCTTGAATTTCACATTATCTCATCCTGCATATTTCAAAATAGGCTTGGTAAAATGTGTAAGTAATCGGGCTACAGGTTTGACTAGTAAGTTGGAAAGCCTAAATATAGAGATATTATTTCTTAAGAACTACCCACCGGAATTTATTACAAAGTTTATAAAGAACTCGTAAGAGGAGTGTTAGTGTAATGTTTCTGTATAAAGAAGGTACATCAGGAATTTTGAGTAGAATTCTTAACAATGCTGGGATTTAGATGATACGTAGACGCATACACTCGTTCAGAGAGAAACTTCGTTGGCTAAAAGATTCAGTAGAGCAAATAAGGAAAAATAACCTAATCTATGAGATATCATGTAATGATTGTGATGTCCAGTATGTAGGTGGAAGCAGCCGATCTCGGACAGTCAGAATAGCAGAACACAAAAATTTAGCAAAATATACAATGGTAGACTACAAAGATAAGTAATTTAGTGAAAAACTCAATTATCGTTCTTCATGAACTGACCGACAATCACACTACATAGTGGGTGAGATAGGCTAACAGTTATTGAATCTAATATAACTAGCTGTGTGGAAGGAGAGATTCATGACAGAATCTTTGTTCATAGAGTCCACATGTAACAGGAAAATTTTACTACCACTAAAATAAATGAATGAAAATACCGTTGAATTATATAGAGGAAGTTTGAAAGTTGTATGATCCCTTTGATATCAATATGAATAATTAATTCTTCTGGAAATGGCATCCAGTAAATATTACGACATTACTGTTATGCTATATCAAATAAACAGTGTAATATGTTGAATGGGATGTATATGCTTCAGATAATCCGAAGGCTACGACATTTCATATCAACATTCTGATAATAAATTCATATTCATTTATAGTAATTAGAAAGAATTATGCCTTCTCATTAAACAACTAGATGAAGACGCCACATGCCAAGTAATTCACAATGGAAAGCTCAGTGATGCTTTTGAAGTGAAGACAGGAGTAAAACATGGCTGCCGCCTACTATCGCCAATGACCTTCTTGATTGTGGTCGACTGGATGATGCAACAAACCGTGTGGAGCGAGTAGGTGGACATACGCTGGCTGTGGGGATTGGTGGAGCGAAGTTGAAGAGATTGTAGAGAAGAGAGTGGAATGGAGACGTGCTATTGAAGCCCTATGTTCCACTCGGAACCGAAGGGACAAATAATAAGAATAAAAATGAATGACGACTTCTTACCTGTAACTTAATACATCGTCGTACACAATTTACTGTTGGTCTTCCTAAATCGAATTTTCCAAATACAAAAACTCCTATTATTGTTAATACTGTATAAAATGTAATTGAAATCGGCTGAGCATAAATTCCATAATATTTTACTAGTAAATAATATTGAGTATCGTTATCTTCAGGTTTTCTTGGATTTATCAACGACTGTACAAATAATGTATGGCCTAAACTTGCTCCAGCCAATATACCAAATAGTGTAAATGATAAGATTTGTAATATTTCATGAATTTTAACAACAAAATACAATCCTGGATTATTGTGTAAATGGATTAATTGTTGTTTATCAATTGATTTTGATCTGATAATAGATTCTTCAAATCGTTTATTATTTATACTTTTTTCATAGTCTTTTATTGTTTTTGCCCGGAAACCATTTCGACTTTCAAGGTAGATATTTGGTGCAAAATTGCTTTTAGTTAAATTATATTCACCATCATCTGGGAATAAATAGACAGTAGTTGGATAAGATAAAAATTTATGTGGATAATATACAACCTAATAGAAAAGTTTATTGGTTCAAATTCAAACAATTCACAATAACGCATTAAAGGTAAGAACCAAGTGAGAGATAGAATGAACAAAGCAAAAAACTTGAAAAATATCGAACAGATACTTGTGGTATAATGGAGTACACAATAAATTTGCACATCTTTATTGAAATGAATATTACCGGTTCAATGCACTCGACAAAGAAGTGAAGAAGAGTGCGCACTAAGACAAACGAGACTTCTACGAACAGAACAGGCTGCTGGTAGGAGAGACCTGACAACATTATATCAAATAACCAGGTTACTAACTTGGAAGATGTCAACTCAGACGAAATCAATGAAAGATAGTGAAGGAAATTTAGTTACCAAAAAGGAGAAACAAAGGAAACGACGGGCTGACAACTTCAAAAAACTCTTCAATCGACTACCACCTCCAACTCGTCGAGAAATACCACTAGCAATGGCGGAACTACCAGTGAACTCAGGCTCTCCGACAAAAACAAAAGTGAAATCCTGAATGCCATAAACTTGCTAAAAGCAGTAAAAGCAGCGGGAAAGAAAGTTACCTGCCCGCTGACTAGAAGAAGGGCTACCTTCTCAAACTCCCAAAGAAGGGAGACCTAAGCGTCTGCAAGAACTAGCGCGGAATCATGCCCCTGTCCACCCAGTGCAAGCAAAATATTAAGCCACATCCTGGAGGGACTAAAGGATGCGCTGGATTCAAAACTGTGACCGGAACAGGCAGGCCTCAGGAAGTACAAGTCATATGCGGATCAAATTGCAACGCTACACTACGCATCATCACAGAACAGAGTGTAGAATGGCAGTCAACTTCAATGAATTTGAAAAGGCCTTCGACAGCGTCGACCGAGAAGTAATTTGCCAGGCAGCTGCTTCAACACTATGGAGTCAAACAAACCTTCATGAAACTCAATAAACAGCTATATGAAGACGCCACATGCCAAGTGATCCACAATGGAAAGCTGAGTGGTGCTTTTGAAGTGAAGACAGGAGTAAATGATGGCTGCCGCCTACTATCACCCATGATCTTCCTGATTGTGGTCGACTGGATGATGCAACAAACCGTGTGGAGCGAGTAGGTGGACATACGCTGGTTGGACCGATGAAAAGAGCCTAGGAAATTCGGATTTCGACAATGATTTATGTCTAATGTCACACAAACTCGAAGATCTACAGGCAAAAACTGACAAGTTGACAGAAGAGACAGGGTGAGGCAGCGAAGATGGGACTTCCCTCAGGTGAACGTAGAGAAGACGGAGGTGATGAAGATACCCAACCAACGCCACCACCAGCAACAAGCTCCCATCTAGAATCAAGGGAGAAACTTAAAGGAAGTTGCCTCCTTCACCTACCCAGACAGTATCATTCCAACTACAGGTGGTGGTGGTACAGGCACAGATGAGGATGTCAAAGCAGACAGGATCGGAAATACTGCAAGACGAGCCTTCCTTGATTAACGTGAAACCAGTGTGGAGATGTTCTGCACTGCAGTCAGCATAAAGCGTGAACAACATGCGTATTTTGAACAGTTTTTTGAGTGACTTTAAAGGTCACCCTAACAACTACTAAGATAACCAATTACGTCTCTGTATTTTAAGAAAAACTAACTCCTTGCCTAAGTACTGAAATCTGATTGGTTACTTCAGGGTGGCCTTTAAAGCCAGTCTAATTGTTTAGTGTTTTTATAATTTCCTATATCCCAAAGTAACAGATCTCGCATGACACTAATTTGAATGGGATGTTGACAACTGTAATCCCAGTTGGTTTTTTTGATTTAAACACACGAATCACAAAGCCACGACGTGCAACTTACTAATAGCCAACAAAAAAAGTACAAACAAGACAGAGTATAATATACCATACAATTAGATGACTGACAATTTCTAACTGTTAGGCTATCAAACAATAAATGACTGATAGAAAGGACGCTTACTAGAAAAAGTTATAAAACAGTGCTATAAAATAAAGTCTGAATAAAATGTCTATAGTCAAAATTAGATACACTTCTAAATCCCAAATTTACCTTTCAGCTATAAAAAGAAACAATAAACAGATGAAACCTGCTTGTTGTTTTCATATTGTACAATGAAAGTGGATTATAGTTAAAAGAAATATTCCATTTTAGTCTATTAATTAGAAATATCATACAGTACCATTTACTGGATAACGTTTCGGAGATAATTTACTAACCATATTCATATCAGATAACTCCACAACTTTGAGACATTGTTTACATAGTTATAATCTTTTCTCCTTCTGTGTGATGACAAGGTTAGTAGGATTTCCCATATATCTGAGACAGGTACATAATCATTTCTATTACCACATGTATTTGGTATTGATTCGATAAACAAAGTTTCGGACATCAATCTCTCCCTACACACAACTAAGTTAATCTTTAATATTGAAGCTTTATCCCACACCATTGTGTGATTGTGTTCAACTCTGTGGATAGATACGGCCGACATTTTCTCTAAATTTCTGATCATCTTGTGATCTACTAATCTGGATTTAGCTAGTTTTTTATGCTCTGTTATTCTAATCAACCCTGGTCAATTACATCAACCTATGTACTTAACCTGTCAATCATTGCAAGGGATTCGGTAAACCAGATTATTTTGCTTAATTGCATCGATAGGATATTTTAACCTACAAAGCTTGTTTCTAAGCGAGTTTATTGGTTTGAATGCCACTTTAATCCCAGTTAGCCTTATTGAGAATTCTTCTCAATGCTTTTGAGGTGACTTTCTTGTATGGTAACACAGTGGAGGCTTTGAATTCTCTCTCAACCCTGTCACCATCATTACCATTAGTGGTAGAATTATTATCACTGACAACAGCATCACTACTACTACTACTACTATTTGTTGTAGATTTTCTGGTCTACTGGTAAGCTTTTTCGCCCTTTCACTTAGGCATTTGAGTAAGCCTACTTTAACTGAGATGGGGTGGGAGGATTTGAAATCTAAGTAGCAATTCGAATGGAAAGGTTTCCTATAGACACTAGTCTGTAAACTTCCGTCTTGTGTTCGTTTAATCTTGCAATCCAACATTACTAGCTCACCTTCATCACTTTTGTAGTCACAAGTAAATTGGATTATGATCACTACTGAATTTATATGTGCCAATAACCTATTGATGTTTTGTGATTTCAGTACTGTAAACATATCATTTACATATCGGGACTATACCCTTTTTATCACGAAGAAACAGAGATAATTAGGTATATGTAAACTGTATCTCGAAGTTGTAGAGTTACCTGATATGAATACAGACGATAAATTGTGTCCGAAACGTTATGCAGTAGATGATACTGTCCCTTCACTGTGTATGACATGGAATTATAATCGACCACAGTGCCCAATTTTTACTCCTATACTAAAAGGAAAAATTATGCATGAAGTCAGATTGTTTATACTAGAATTATTTTCAAATTGTTAGTCAACTGTAGTCAGATAGAGATTATGTACAGAAGGATGAAAAGATGAACTACAGTGGAAATTCACAACTTATTATCATGGTTCAGACGAAATTTTTATGAGAGCTAATTATTGTGTTTTCGAATGTAAAAGACTAGTTGAACCTGCACACTTGAGAGAACTGTTGCAAATCACCATTTTATTTCAATTACATTACATACCGTCTTTTTGTCTTAAACACCCATAACAATACTTGCTAATACCCGGAGAATGTGTTCGACTGTGTCAACGCCTTGTGACATAATGTAATGCATGATGGCTAACACTCGAATCAAGATTCTTGTTTCGTTCTGTTTGGGACCCATTAGCCGGATGGACCTAAATCCCAGAGAGTGATTTTGTTCACACTCAGACTCGAACCCAGCATCCATCACCTCAAATACCAGGACGTTATCCATTAGGTTACTGAGGAACAAGAATCGCTTCTTGTTTAGCGGGTATGAGTTGTGATCATTCAGTCATACTTGGGATTTCCCATTGTTATACCTGATAAAACTGATCAATCTGTGTTAGTATGTGGGCGCTTGTGGAGATCTCTCGGTATTACTTGAAGATTAATTATGATACCAAACAAAGATCTGTGACTTCGATCCAGTAAAACAACAGGAAATCATAATTATCTCAAGTTGGTATTGATCGTAGACTGACAGCAGTTGGAGGAACAATGGAGACCTGGAAAGCAACTGTTTCATCCTAGTGCGGGACTCCTCAGCAGTGCGCACTCCTGACCTAGCCTCACCAGGGATCGATCCCATGACCTTCAGGCAACCTGCTGGTCATAGCACTATATCGTGAACTAACAGAATTTGGAAATGTGGACAGTAAGATTTTAACTTAGTGGGTCAATGGTAACATGCTGGCCTTGGAACCTGAAGGTTCTGGGTTCGATCCCTAGTGGGGTGGGGTCATGGGTACACACTGGTGGAGAGTCGCACACCATGACGAAACAGTTGCTATCAAGTGCCTCCAGGTCTCCACTGTTCCACCAACTGATATCAGTCTAAGATGAATACCGACTTGAAATATTTCTAAATCCCCATAAACCCAGAAATTCAATTGAACTAACTTCGAGAGATGATTACCGAAGTTTCAGTGAGAAGTCGTGACCAGTGGGGCACACTCGGTGGCCATGGGGACAAATGCTCAACCATGACATTGGGTTGCGGTTGTGCTACGTTGTGAGCTGACAGAAGTTGGAAATATGGACCATTGGATTCCGACCCAGTGGCTCAATGGTATCGGGCTGGCTATGGAACCTTAAGGTCATAGGTTCAATCCCTGGCGAGGCTGGGTCGTGAGTGTGCACTGCTGAGGAGTCGCATGCTAGGACGAGACAGTTGCTGTCCAGTGTTCTCATGTTTCCAATGTTGCTCCAACTGATGTCAGTCCATGATGAATCCCAACTTAAAAGGTATTAACTTACCATGATTATCCATTACTGGAATCTTTCTTGCCCCAGTTGCTAGACTATTTCTTCTAGTATCGACATTTTCTGTTTCTGAAACTGTTGTTACATCATCTCCTAAAGTATCCAAAATTGGACCTATATCACCATTGTTCACTTTTGATTGTTTTCTAGTCTTCTTTTTCTTTAATATTTCTGTGGGATTAGTATTTTCCACTGATTCACTAGTTTGATTCATTGCTTTATAAATTTAAACAAACCAAACTGTAAAATATTGAACTAAGAATGAAACAAGAGATAAATGTTTACTGAATGTTGAGACCATTTGTGTCATTTTTGTTTGAATTTACTATTAAATACATCAATGTTCATTAAAGGGTCTATTATGACATGGTAGTATCTACAGTTATGAAAGCTTTATTAGTAATCTTATCTTGATATCAGCTTGAGTCAGTATGATTTGTTTTGATGCCTTAATTAATACTTTAATGCCTTATTAAGAAGCCAACATATATAAGACAATAATATAAGTGTAAAACTTGTCAATTGGTTAGTGTTTAACTTCATGTCAGTTTGTTTATTCGATGGATATATCACACAGACAGGTAACATTATTTAACTGGATGAAATTTCAAGATCAACCTTTCACTCATAATTCACTAAAGTTAATCAAAACCAAACAAAGAACAGGTGCTCACTTATTCTTAATATGAATTAGATATTGACTTCCATAAATATATAGTTATCAGATACCTCTTCTTCCATTGGTAACTGGGTTTTAAGAAGTATTTCTCTGTCCCACCCTAATGTTTGCTGGCGTTTCAATGAACTCAGATCTAATACATATAGTGAGATTGACTCAGAATCTGTTCTAGATACATGAATTATTATTTTACGTATTACACATGAGATAAAATCAAACGGGATAGAACTATTAAAATCAAGTTGAAGTGTTGTATCTTATATTTGCCCCAATAGGATTGAGTGAATTTTTTTACTGAGAATATAATCCACTAAATGATATTGTTTCACTAATCTATATCTAAAGTAAAAAGCAACGTTGTGCTAACTTATTATTTATTATTTGTCCCTCGGGTTCCTAACGGATCATAGGGCTTCAGTAGCACGTCTCCAGTGCACTCTGTTCTCTGCAAACTTTTGAACCTGGTTCCACGACAGCCCACAACCTCTCATTTCCTCCTCACATGGTCTCCTCCATATCAGGTGGGACGCCCAACTCATCGTTTCCCATCCGGGTTCCACTCGAGTGACTGGTCTGGCGCGTGATGTCCCCAGTCGGCCTTCTCAGTGCATGCCCAATCCCATCCATCTCCACTTCCTTCTACTGCATATTTCTTCAGTGATAGCTTCCTCGTTGGCTCGTTATCGGGCCAGTCACAGTGAGTTCCTTGTTGCTTATCCTGATTATTCTGGCAATCCATCTGAGCTTCAGTATCAGTAACGAGCCAGTGTGGGCAGTTGTTGATGAATATCTGCACTTCGTTGAAAATCACCTTTCGTAACGCACCAAGTCTCTCAACCATCACACAGAAGCACTGGCTCACTTCACTGACTGACTGACTGACATTAGTGTTGAAAATCCGGATCCTGTTCACACTTTATACTGAGTGCAGCGCAGATGATCTCCACACCGGTTTCAGGTAAATGAACGTCTGTCTTGCTTTTCCGATCCTGGCTGCTTTGACGTCCTCGTCTGTGCGACCGCTGCCTGTAGTTGAAACAGTGCTGCCTAGGTGGTGGGTAAAAGAGGTAACTTTGTTTAAGTTCCTCCCGTTGATGATGATTTGAGCTTCTTGTTGTTGGTGGTGGTGGCGGCGTTGGTTGGATATCTTCATCACCTCTGTCTTCTCTACGTCCACCGAAAGGAAGTCCCCTCTTCACTGCCTCACCTCTCCTGTCAAATTGTTAGTTTTTGCCTGTAGATCTTCAAGTTTGTGCGACGTCAGACACAAGTTATTGGCGGCGAAATCCAAATCTTTCAGGTTCTTTTCCGTGTTCCTGCCAACGTATCCCTCTCTTCTCACTCCTCACTGTTTGTTGCATGATCCAGTCCACCACGATCAGGAAGATGACCGATGATAATAGGCGACAACCTTATCTTACTGCTGTCTCCTGTCTTCACTTCAAGGATATCAATGAGCCTTCCATTGTGAATTACTTGGCATGTGGCGTCTTCATATAGTTGTTGAGTGAGGTTGATAAAGGTTTGCGGTATTCCGTAGTATTGAAGCAGTTTCCAAATTACCTCTCGGTCGACGCTGTCGAAGGTCTTTTCAAAGTCGATGAAGTTGAGGTATAGAGTTGAATGCCGTTCTATACTCTGTTCTATGATGATGCGTAGAGTGGCGTTGCAATTTGGTCTGCACATGATTTGTACTTCCTGAATCCAGCCTGTTCCGGTCGCAGTTTTGAATCTAGAGCATCCTTTAGTCTCTCCAGCATGATGCGACTTAATATTTTGCTTGCACTGGGTGGACAGGAGCATGATCTCGCGCCAGTTCTTGCAAAGTTATAGGTCACTATGACAGCCACTCCCTCCATGCGCTCGTTGTTGTCGTCTGGGTGACAATATCGGAGTAGATTATTGATTCTCCAGTTGACAGTTTGGAGAGTCCACTTCCATTCCATCTGCTTTCGTAAATCCCTAATACTTCAATGTGATACCTTCTCATCTCGTTTGCAATCTGGGCAGCCTTGCTAGGTTCAAACATGATGCGCACATTCCATGTCCCCACGTTTACTTTTGCTTTCATCGAGAGTGAGAAGACAAATCGGCCAATGGGCTTCCCGAAGGCTTTCACCAAGCGGCGTCATTCCGTATCTCCGATTCCAGCGAGGGATAATTTTGTTTTTATTTTTTATATTTTGTTTGTGCTTTGAAGTTCCTGTAGCGGTTGGATTTGTTTTCCGGGGTAGGGTTTCTAGCTCTACGCCCAAGCTTCCCTCTTTACCCGGGCTTAGGACCGGTTACTAACTAGTGAACCAGTTAACCAGGAGAGGTTGTGCTAATAGTGCACTGATTTTATACAGAAGTTGATCTGAAAGTAATAATTAATTATGTTGAAAATAAAATACAACTGTTCAACTGAAATGAGCTCCTTATGCAATGATTTAAAGAGTGGAATTAGTACGAAGTGACTATTCAATGATACATAATGTATAATTTGATAACGTAATTAGAAGGCGTAGTTTATCTGAAAAATATGGTTTATTTATATTATACATTCTGAATGATCTGATCACATATTTACTTTTTAAAGCATTTTAAATAAAAACTTGAAGTGGGGCAGGGATAAATATGACATAAAGGTATTTGATAATAAACAAGGATAATGAAGGAGTAATGATAAGTTTTGCAGGCAACCTTAGTAATGCGACAAGATAAGCATGAACCGGGTAGTTTTAGAGTATGGTCAAACTATATTTCAACACACAAAGAGGGCTTAAATTTCTGTATGGCCAGTGCTTCAACAGGCTGAAGTATACACTCCTGACAATTTCTATACAAAATTCTGAAAGGCTATTCTAATTTCGACACTGTAAGGGCAGTTGTAATGAAGCTTTGGGCTATAAAAGCCTTCTATATAAAGACGACTGCAAATTACGATGTCTATATAGTTCAAATGTTCTGCATACTTTAGTTACGTAACAGATGATGCAAATGTTTTGACTGTGTGCTTATAATCCTGTACTCCCAGTATGTATGGCTTCATTTGGAATACTGATGACTGACTACCGTGTTTAGACACGTAGTCCATGGTTCAGGAAAAGGAAGGTACATTAAAGCAGGTTAGAAAGATATGGTCCAAACTAGCAATAGGTCTTGCATACTTCCTTTATAAATAGCAGGTTAAAACTATGTTTTATCGTAGAGAAAGTGGAAACTTAATAGTGCATTACTTATCTTGAACAACAGCCTGAATACTGATTTGCCATGCCTTCTGGAACTGAACAACATAAAGCTAAGAATAAGATACGAAGCCAGAGTCAGATTATATTTAGGTGTATTACTGGTCCCCCTACAGTGGTCAACGATTGCAACCGGTTACCGAAAAGAGTAATAGTGAACGACTGGAGTTCAAAGAAACTCTCCGAGCGATTACATTCGCGTTAATTCTCATAGTGGAACCAAGTAAGTGACTGCTTGTCTATTGGAAATCAATAGCCAGGTTAAAAAAGCTCCTTAGATAAAGGAAAGGATTATTAAATTTGTCAGTAGCTACTGACTCAGAGTGATATAAGATCAAATATTATGAATATAAGAATTTTGGAATAGCTGGCATCACAATTTCTGGGAAATTTTCGAAAAACGTACCTTTGAATATTCTGTCTGTTGTCCTAAGAAACCCATCTATAGATCGACAGGAGAACTGGAATAAGCAATGTTATGTCAGTTTTACACGGAAGTTGCAGATAAGTCAAAGAAGTGGACGATTTTTCTGCAGCAGAAGTACCTCCACACTACTTTAGTTACGTATCCTCAAGACGATACACTAACTATGAATCATTAGCAATCTACTTTCGTCGACCAGAGAATCCCCTGTTGCTAGGAGACAATCATCAATTCTTAACTCTTCTCTCGGAAGCTAGTAGAGACTGAGTGTCACGAGCCATTGTTCTGGCTTTCCTGCTATTTCTACCATACACAAATGAACCACCGAACATCACAGACTCCCTTTTGGTTCTCAACGCTGAAGGTGTAAAACCCTTACGAGAAGTTACGGAAGACGACAATGTACTTACACTTCAGACAGACCTAAACAGCTTGTTAACCTGACCTGATAGGTTGCTGATGACTCTCAGCGCAGGTAAATGTGTGAGTATACTCATGGCAGCATTTACGATATAGGGGAATTTCTTTGTCATCAATACTGACCTGCAATAACCGAGGAGTCACAACGAGTTATGGTTTGAAGAACACTGAAAACTGTCAATTGGTCGCAGCTCAGAGTTTCGGGATACTTTGGGCATTACAAAGAACATTTAGAAAATAAGTAGTGATATGTTCGTCATCTTATGCATATCCTTAGTTAAGTCTAAACTAGGAGACTAAGCACAAATGGCGAATCCTTATCTGAAAGATGACTAACACCGTCTGGAAGCAGTTAAGATGGATGTCACTCATATGTACCCTGCGAGGACTAGCATGACCTTCAAAAATTGAAATAGATAACTGAACCTCTCCTTTTTATTATGCTGCAACACGAGAAATCTATTAATACTAAACATAATTATAAGAAAAGGCTTTGGACTTAATTTATTTCTTGTTTTTCTTCATACCAAGTCTGAACGCCTCAAAGAACTTAGCAGCAAATTACAAGAGCAAAGAACAAACAAAGTCTTCTTAGTATACTGGTTTTCTTACAAAGTAATCAACTCGAGTAACCAACTCCCAGAAGAAGTGGCTCTGGTATCATCAGCGAGCTCATTCAAAAAGAGATCTTAACAATATCCAATATCTATTTAACGAGCTTGTGTAAACCAGTTGATTTCTTCTTGCTCGCTCTTCAGCCTTGCGGAATGGTTCCA